GGAAGCTGACTCCTACTAAATACAAAAGCATGATTCCAATGAGGGAGGGGGAGACAACTAGAGACAGGCACTGCTGGTGCTGCTCACCAAGGTGACGCAGGTGCTGCTGATACTGCTGCCACCCAGTGCTGGAGCTGCACCAGTGCAAGCGGCCAGCGCATCAGGGAGAGCTGCTGCAGGCCCGGTGCTGCAGGGCTTCAGGTGCTGCAGGGCGTCAGGGGGAGCTGCTGCAAGCGACCAGGTGATACTGCTGCCACCAGTCAGGTGGTGCCGCTGGCAGACGTTTGCAGCCGCAGCCGCCAGGTGCAGACGTAGCCGCCAGGTGCAGACGCAGCCGCCAGGAGCAGAAGCAGCCGCCAAGAGCAGAAGCAGTCGCCAAGAGCTTATGTACCAGTTGCAGCTGCCTCCGGGCGCCACCTATTATAGGGGGAGCAGCACAAGGTAATATGGAGAAGCACAGGGAAACATGGAGCAGCACAAGGTCAAGAGGAGCAGCAAAAGGTAACATCACAGGGTAACAAGGTGACATGCGTGAAGTAGTCTGGTTCGACTAAGCATTCTCAGCTCGGCAGGAAGGAGAAAGCCGGGCGCCAGGAGTTACAGCGGTGTGTGGGCGGTTACGCAGCTGCCGTGTGCCACAGGTGCTGCCGTGCGCCGCAGGTGCTGCCGTGCGCCACAGGTGCGGCCGTCACTACGGTCGTGGGCGTCAGCAGGAGAGGCAGCCGCGCGACGAGGGCAGTGGCGTCATGCGCGAGGCGCTGCAGGAGCGCCATGTCGTCCGAAATGGCAAGGGGAGGGCGCGCACCAGCAGAAGCCGCCACATGCGATATAATGCAGCAGCGCGCATGCTGCTGCAGTCGTGCGCCAACCGCTGCTGCCGACCGTCACAGGCATCGATGTAGCGGAGCGCTATGAACAGCAGTCACGCGCAAGGAGCTGCAGCGCGCAGGTCGTCAAGCGAGGAGGTTACTGCAGTCGCGCGACAGAGGAAGCAGTAACGCGACAGAAGTAGCAGTCGCGGATCTGGCCGCAGCCGCAGAAAATGCGCATTTGACGCTGCAGGTCGTCACGTGCGCTGCTGTCACCAAGCGCCAGCCGTGACATGGCGAGCGCTAGTGATGCGCGCTAGCTACAGCTGCAGGACATCGCGCTTCAGGCCGGAGCAGGAGCTGCTGAACGACGATCTGCAATTGCAGGTCGAAAAATAGAAGTTGCGCCATGGAAAACCTAATACGTTACAAGCTGCAGCAGCAGCCATAGCTACGATGGGAGGAGTTGACACGGCTGGGAAGGCAGATCGGATAGGGAGTAACGACTCACGAGCAGGAGTAAGGAGCAGCAACACTCGATCGGAAGAGACGAGGTTTGGAGAGCGAAAATGACACACTTGGGAGAGACCCCGTTGAGAGGGATGCACGGAACTGAAGCAGGAGAAGCAGCGTCTGGTGTGAGGGGGGTCGTTCGAAGGGACCACCTGCGCGTCGGAACGTGCAGTACAGCAATCGCCAGTTGCACGGAAATTACAACACGACAAACAACCCCACTGTCCGCCGCGATCCCAACGGAACTATTCGACTACGTTCGGTTCGCCGTGATCAACGCTGCCATCACCCAAGGTGACCCCGAAATCAACGCCTTGACCCAAATTCACTCCGCAATCAACGGCGTTTACAGAAATCCCTCCAAAACCAGCTTCGGTAAAATCTACAGCAAGGGGGAGTGTTGAGAAATATAACATATAACGAAACATTTATGCTGTTAGATTTTACTGTAGTCCTCCTTATAAGACTTCAGGGCCTACAATAATTTTACTATTATTGTAGGGCTGGAATTGTTGGAGTCTAGAGGTCTGGGGATAGAATTATTGGTACTCCTTTATTGGAGTTGCCATTATTGGTGGCACAATTATTGGTGTGGATGGATGGGTATGGGCAGGGTAGCTGATAGCATAAATTCCCTGCTGTGGTTTCATAATCAACAAATTCCATTATTCTGAATCCATTCAGTTGCAAGGTTCTCTTGCTATTCTCTTCTACAATCAAGGCTTCCGCTACAACGGCACTATGCCTTTCTAGCAGAAAGCTGTTCTCCCTTGCACCTTCTAAAGGTTCTATGAACCCCATGTTCCAACACATTATCCGAGATCATGCTTGTTGTGATGTGAACCTGTACCGATCCTGAATTAAATCGACAGACTGTGTAGTGTATGTATCACGTCCGAATAATTCCTTTCTGTGTCGGTCAATGTTTGTGGTGTTGAAATTCGTGGGGAAACCTGGTTTCGCGATTCGGAACCCCGAAGTTTTGCTGTGCGAAAAAATCTCTCACCAAGCGAAGAAAATCATTTACCAGCACTTCTCAGCGAAGCTCGAACGAAATCGAGGTGGTGCGCTAGGTGAGTCGCAATGCGTGCGCAAAACTCCGCGAATTGGACTGTCGTCCTGGTCAACGAGGAATTGCACCGAAATATTTCCCCCACCCACACGGTCCAGGAATTTCCTCAGGAGTTTTTGGCGGCAACAGAACAGAACAGCCCCATCCCCACAATGTGAAGTCTCAAACTCAACAACATGGCAGCTGGTACTTCCAAAAATTGTGACTCGCGATTGAGCAGCCTCCAATAATTGTGACTAGAGATCGAGCCGCCACCAAAACTGCGACGTCAGTCCGACGATCATGAAATAGCGAGCCCGCAGGGAGGTTCCCCGTGCCGGACAAGCGGTCCGAGAATCGGAATTGCATCACCCACCAGTTAGCTTCCATGCAGTCCGGGTGACGTCGCGTGGGTTGCGCGCCTCGGCTCTACGTTTCGTCCGAGCCGGGACGAGCTATCCGCTGTGAAACAGCCGAATCGGGCTCTGCATCCGCAGAGCTCTCCAGATTGCGTGTGGAGTATAAAGTAACAAGGTGTCTCCACGCTATACGTTCGATAGAAAATCCGTCTCGCGCATTGTCTGGTTTTCAAGCCAAACGTCGGACACACTTCATCGTCGCATCTACGCGCTATCCCGGTGCCTTCCCGCCGTCACCGGTCTTGCAAAGAGCCTCCCCAAGACTTACCGTCTTGGTCTGTCATTCCGCCAGTCACGGACTCTCCGGCTCGCTCGATTCAGTGAATTGACTCATGGGACCGAAAATGGGTGCAAGATCGACCCTTGCCTTTCTGGTCGCGCTCATAACGATGCTAGCAGCGGTTTCCCACGCTCTCAGCAGCATCGAATCTGTCTCCTCCGCGCAGGGCGCGACGCCTGAAAGCGTAGGAACACCTACAACGACTGGACGGAAATTTGGTAACCCTCGGCGGGCAATGCGGCGTGTAATGCGGGGACCCAGCGACCAGATATCCATAACTCCCTCTGAGACGCCCGCATTACGGCCGAACAGCGCAACTGCACCTCCGGCAGAGGACCAGCAACCTTCCCCTCTTCCTTCCGCCGCCGCTTCCGCCGCTCCTCCGGGGGCAAGGCTCATTCCCCTGCGTGGCGCGAGCTCTGCACGAACCGCCGAGTCCTCATACGCAATAGTACCGAATTTCACTGTAACGACCCAGAGCACGTCCGCGACGCTGTTCGTCCCTCTCAGGCCGCGGCTCGGGCAGCTGCAGCAGCTGCAGCAACAGCAGAGGCGCGAGCTGGAGGGTGCGACGGACATTGCGAACCAGGGCGGCCCGATACTGGCCTACCCGAAGGTGTATTTAATCTACTATGGGACCTGGCCCGAGGGGTCCGGTCAGGATGTGATCGAGAATTTCATTAACTCGCTGGGCGGGGATACGGGGAACCAGGGCGACCCGACGGGGGAGAACAGCGTGCGACGGTGGTGGGATATCTCGACCAACTACTACCAGAATAACGATGACGGCTCTCAGACATTCGTCAGTCCCGAGGTGGGTGTGTAGCGGCCCGCGTCGCCCCCGTGTCACGCGCCCCCCGTGCCCTTTTCGGGACGGGGTTCGGTGGGGCGGTGAACGCTCTTGTACACTTCGAACACAGCGATGCGGGCAGTGTCATCGTGTCTCGTCGACGAATGTTCCTCTCTCTTCACATCGTAACGAATTCATTCATTAGGTCCTAAACCTTTCCGCGCTCATTTCTGATTTTACCCGACACACGTTCACTGCCTCACCCGAATCCGAGACAGATCGTGTTGGGCGGCACGGTGACAGACGACGGATCCAACGGCTGGGAATCCATCGACATGGGGACGAGTGAGTCATGCTTTTGATATTGCTGCCAGCAGCCGCGCTTGGCTCATGCTGGCCATAGATGGTTCATGCTCCGTTTATTGGTGGCTGCCATTATTGTCTGCTGCCTCTCGTATTTTTATCTTACCTTCATCGACCCTTCCCTTTCAATCCTCCCCATCCCCTACCCGCCTTTCCATACCAAACTCCCACCTTTTCCCCCGCCGCTCCCCTCCACCTTTTCTTCTCCAGTCGTCAACACGCACGTCGGAACGGACCTGCCCGTCGACACTGACGGAATCTACCTCGTGCTCACGAGTTCTGACGTCAAGGTTGACGGATTCTGTGACGGATTCTGTGGATACCACACCTCTCATACTTTGGAGACGGGGGAAACTGTCGCTATTGGTTTCATCGGGCACCACGACCTCTGCTGCAAATACGGCGAGTGAGTGATGTTCGGTGTTACACGAGAATGGTAACGGTTGAGTGAGTGAGTGAGTGAGTGAGTGAGTGAGTGAGTGGGTGGGTGGGTGGGTGAGTGAGTGAGCGAGTGAGTGAGTGCTGCTCCTTGTTCTAGGATTCAGGGATAACTGTCGCTCTTGGTTTCATCTGGCACCACGACCACTGCTCCAAATACGGAGAGTGAGTGCTGCTGCGCGTTACACGAGTGATAGACATGAGAGAGAGTGCTGCTCCTTCTTACAGTTTCGGGAGAGAGGGCGGGGTGAGCGGGGGAATGCGCTGGGACACCTTTTCTTGCAAATCTAAACCACTCCCAGAATTCTAACACCAGGTAACAAATTCATGACTTACCATGCTCATTCTACATCCCCCCCACCCATCCAGCGTCACGCCCAATGGCATGCCCGGAATTGACGGCATGATCTCCACCATTGGTCACGAGATCACCGAGGCTGCTACCAATCCTGATGTCTCGTCCGGGTGGATGGCATCTGACGGCGAAGAGAATGCGGATATGTGCGCGTGGCAGTATGGCGATGTTTCCCAGGACACCGATGGTGATGGTAATACGTATGACTACAACATGGTTGGGAACGATGGGATGCGGTTCATGGTTGAAGGGAACTGGGACCTGATTACTAATTCATGCCAGATACAAGCACAGGACGGGGGCTAAAGTGGAATGCTGGATCATAGGCATGTAAGATCCTGCTGCTCCAACTCCTCGTTAGGAGTACTTGCATTGTCTACTGAATAATGCCTGGGATCGGATATCAAATTCACAAGTTGAGAGGCAGCAGTCACGAATAAAGGGTTTAGTGATGGAACCTAATGTCTATATCTGTGTGCAGTTTTCAAGGATTATATTGTGTTCATCTGATCTTAATTATTGTAAGGAAATTTCCTTTTCCTTACTTCGCGTCCCTGCTCAGCACGCACACCACTGTTTTCCCGCCAACAGCACCCAACAGTAATCCGTTACCACTCGCGACACTCGCGTCGACACTGTTCCCGCCGCTGTTCACGACACGACCCAACCTCACGGTTCGGTTGGTAACCCGCGCTCCGGACCTCCGCCTCGAAAACTCCTAACCTCGGCGCTAGGCCCGTCGCGCACCCCATTACCGTTACCACTGTAGTTTCGCTATATATTCTTCGCTCATTGTACTCTTGCTTCGATAGTGCAATTCTCGCTCACTCAATTGCACTCGTAACACTTGGTATTCAGAGCCTACAATCTCCTCTCGGACCGCACCCACACCTTCGCTTCCCCACTATCTCAAATTTTTTGGGGGGGGGGGGGGGGTAGACTGTTAGAATTGTAGGCAAAAGTGTGTGTCGACTATCGAGAGGATTGGTACAAAGAAGAAACCTAAGGGGTTGTACCCCACAGTGAGCAACCCACTAAGCCTACCCAAACTATAACATATATAAACATATGTTTGACACCCCCCCATAGGCAGAGTGGGGGAGAACAGAGGGTCACAAGACCAGTCAGGAAGTGCAAAGCAAGCTCATGGTGGATCACAACGTCACCACGCAGTCTGAGCACAAGCAAGAAGGCCACAAGGCCACTTCACATGCAGAAATATATATGTAACAACAACAGTACAGTGATATCATCCTACAAGAACAAGCATGCAGGAATACATATAAATCATGGTACAAACAAAGCCTACAGCAAGTGAGGAAGCGTGGGCACAAGGCCTAACAAAGTGCAGAAACGCTGATGATCACCAGGCGGAAGCGCCTTGGTGAATATATCAGCAGTGCTGGCCCGAGTGGCCACGTAGGTAAGACGAAGCTGGCCACGCTGCTGCAGCTCTCGAGCAAGAAAGTAACGGAGAGCGATGTGCTTTATTCTGTGCTCCAGTCTGTGCTCCTGACACAAGGCAATGGCGGCCTTGTTGTCGACGTACAGAACTGGAGGAGAACGAGGCCGCTCTCCCAAGTCGGTCAGCAGGTAGGTGAGCTAGCGCAGCTCCTGTGCAGCCATGGTTGTGTCGTAGATCTCTGCCTCACAGCTGAAGCCGAGTGTCAGAATGTATTTGCTGTCTAGCCTGCAGTGGGGTACTCTGTAATGAGTACAACCCAATTTAGGGTGTTGTACTTGTATCCCAACTCTTGCTAGTGAAACCCTCATTCTCCTTTCCAATTCTCTCGACACTCAACTCTCTCGACATCCTTCCTAGCCATGGTTCCTAAGTCACTACTATTCTAACATGGTATTAAGAGCAATTAAGTCTTAGGACCTAATCTTAATGGGCCCACCACCTACTGCCCTGCTAGCCTAGGCCCCGGCCCGTCGCCCCTGGGCGTCGCCCCTAGCCCCTAGGCTCGGCCCCTTGGCCCCGTCGCCTCGGCCCCTTGGCCCCGTCGACTCCGTCGCCCCGCGCCCGGCCCGTACTTAGCCCGCGCTCGGCACCGTTCCTAGCCCCGCGCCCGGCCCGTACCTCGCCCGTGCCTGGCCCGTACCTCGCCCGTGCCTGGCCCGTACCTAGCCTCGCGCCCGGCCCGTACTTAGCCCGCGATCGGCCCGTACCTAGCCCGCGCTCGGCCCCTTTCCTAGCCCCGCGCCTGGCCCGTACCTAGCCTCGCGCCCGGCCCGTACTTAGCCCGCGATCGGCCCGTACCTAGCCCGCGCTCGGCCCCTTTCCTAGCCCCGCGCCTGGCCCGTACCTAGCCTCGCGCACGGCCCCGTTCCTAGCCCCGCGATCGGCCCGTACCTAGCCTCGCGACCGGCCCGTACCCTGCCCGCGCACGGCCCCGTCTCTCGTCCGCGCTCGGCTCGTACCTAGCCCCGCGCCCGGCCCGTACCTAGCCCAGCGCACGGCCCCGACCCTAGCCAGCGCCCGGCCCCGTACCTAGCCTGCGCCCGGCCCCTTCTGTCGCCAGCGCCTGGCTCTGTACCTAGCCTCGCGCCCGGCCCCCCGTCCTTTGCCCGCGCTCGGCCCCGTACCTAGCCCCGCGCCCGGCCCCATTCCGCGCCCAGCGCCAGGCCCCGTACCTAGCCCAGCGCACGGCCCCGACCCTAGCCAGCGCCCGGCCCCGTACCTAGCCCGCGCCTGGCCCCTTCTGTCGCCAGCGCCTGGCTCCGTACCTAGCCTCGCGCCCGGCCCCCCGTCCTTTGCCCGCGCTCGGCCCCGTACCTAGCCCCGCGCCCGGCCCCATTCCGCGCCCGGCGCCCGGCCCCGTACCTGACCTGCACCCGGCCCCTTGTTTGGCCCCTCGGCCCCCCCTAGGCCCCTCGGCCCCCCTTGGCCCCCCGGCCCCTTGTTTGGCCCCGCGGCCCCTAGGCCCCTCGGCCCCACCTCAGAGCCCGGCGCCCAGCCCCCCGGCCCCTTGTTTGGCCCCTCGGCCCACTAGGCCCCTCGGCCCCCCTAGGCCCCCCGGCCCCTTGTTTGGCCCCGCGGCCCCTAGGCCACCTCGGCCCCACCTCAGAGACCGGCGCCCGCCCCCCCCCCCCCCCCCCCCGGCCCCTTGTTTGGCCCCTCGGCCCCCTAGGCCCCTCGGCCCCCTCTAGGCCCCCCGGCCCCCCTTGTTTGGCCCCGCGGCGCCTAGGCCGCTCGGCCTCTTGTTTGGCCCCTCGGCCCCCTAGGCCCCTTGGCCCCCCTAGGCCCCCTCGGCCCCTTGTTTGGCCTCGCGGCCCCTAGGCCCCTCGGCCCCACCTCAAAGCCCGGTGCCCGGCCCCCCCGGCCCCTTGTTTGGCCCCTCGGCCCCCTAGGCCCCTCGGCCCCCCCTAGGCCCCTCGGCCCCACCTCAAAGCCCGGAGCCCGGCCCCCCGGCCCCTTGTTTGGCCCCTCGGCCCCCCCTAGGCCCCTCGGCCCCCCCCTAGGCCCCCCTCGGCCCCTTGTTTGGCCCCGCGGCCCCTAGGCCCCTCGGCCCCACCTCAAAACCCGGCGCCCGGCCCCCCCGTCCCTAGCCATGGCCCCGTCGCCCCTAGCCATGGGCCCTCGCGATCTGCCGCCCCTACCCACGGCCCCGGTGCCCTGTTGCAACATGGTGGGTGAGGGGGTGGCAAGAGGGGGTACCTCCTGCCCGCGTGCCCTACAGTCGCACGCGCAGCTCCGCCCCCGCCCCCCTCCCCCCCCTCCCCCCCCTCCATGGGGATGGCGGGGAGAGGGTGTGAGGGGGTGGCGGATGTGCCTCAGCAGCAGCAGCTGCCGCCACACCTCCTCCTCTCTCTCTTCCTGCCGCATCTTGTGGTGGGAGAGGGGGGGGAGCTTGGAGGTTCAGGGGGAGGCAGGAGGGGATCTGCAGCACCAGCCCCCCCCCCCCCCGCCCCCCCCCCCCCCCCCCCCCCCCCCCCTTCTCCTCCATCTCTCTGCTGCGGGTGCAGCAGTGGGGGGAGGGTATTGGGGTTGCGGGTGTGGCCAACGTGCTGTCGCCCGAGCGGCTCCTGCACCGCCCCTTCTCCTACCTCCCCCCTGCTGCGGGTGCAGCAGTGGGGGGGGAGGGGATCTGCAGCACCAACCCCCCCCCCCCCCCCCCCCCCCCCCCTTCTCCTATCTCCCCCTGCTGCGGATGCGGCAGTGGGGGGAGGGGACCTGCAGCACCAGCCCCCCCCCCGCCCCCCCCTCCCCCTTTCTCCTCCACCCCTACTGCGGGTGCAGCAGTGGGGGGGAGGGGATCTGCAGCAGCAGTGGGGGGAGGGGATTTGCAGCATCAGCCCCCCCCCCCCCCCCCGCCCTTTTCTCCTCTCTCTCTCCCTGCCGCACCCTGTGTTGGGAGGGGGGGGGAGCTTGGAGGTTCAGAGGGAGGCAGGAGGGGATCTGCAGCACCAGCCCCCCCCCCCGCCCCCCCCTCCCCCCCCCCCCCGCAGCAGTGGGGGGGAGGGGATCTGCAGCAGCAGTGGGGGGAGGGGAGTTGCAGCATCAGCCCCCCCCCCCCCCCCCCCCCCCCCCCCCCCATCCCCCCACTTCTCCTCCATCCCCCTGCTGCTGGTGCAGCGGTGGGGGGGAGGGGATCTGCAGCCCTGTGCGCCCTGCTGCCCTGCTGCTGCCGCTACAGCCCTTGCTGTTGCCGCTACAGCCCTTGCTGCTGCCCTGCGCGCCCCGCGCGCCCTGCAGCCCTGCTGCGCCCTGTGCGCCCTGCTGCCCTGTGCGCCCCGTGCGCCCTGCTGCCCTCTGCACGCGCCATGCACAGCCCCCCCCCCCCTTTCTCCTCCATCCCCTGCTGCGGGTGCAGCAGTGGGGGGGAGGGGATCTGCAGCACCAGCCCCCCCCCCCCCCCCCCTCCCTTCTCCTACCTACCCCTGCTGCGGGTGCAGCAGTGGGGGGGAGGGAATCTGCAGCACCAGCCCCCCCCCCGCCCCCCCCCACCCCTCCCCCTTCTCCATCCCCTGCTGCAGGTGCAGCAGTGGGGGAGGGTATGGGGGTGGCGGGTGTGGGTGCAACTGCGGGGTGGCGGGTATGGGGGTGGCGGGTGTGTGAACCGTCCCCTGCTCCTCCTCCTCCTCCGTCTCCCACTGCTGCAGCTGCCGCTGAGGGGGGTGGGTGTGTGGGAGCCTAGGGAGTGGTGCTAGGGGGGTGACGTGGGAGTGGAGCTAGGGGTGCAGCAAGGGGTGTGTGAAAGGGGGGTGGGACAGTTGGGGGAGGTTGAGCGGAGGTACCTGTCGTGTCGCCAGCAGCGCCAGTAGTCCGGAGGCTACAATCTCCGGTAGCCCAGCGAGCCTGCTGCGCCAGTCGCCTGTGGGTCCGTTGCTCCTGCCGCTCAGAGTTAGCCGCAGAGCCAGTTACTCCTGTAGTCCGGGGATACGGCCCCGGTAGCCACAGTGCGCGCCGCTCCTGTTGCCCGTGTGTCTGCAGCATCAGCAGTCGCCTCCTATCTCCTCTCCTCTCCTCTCACAGTCCAGCCTCCTCCTCACCTGCCCTTTGTGTATGCCTCTAGCTTTGCTTGTACTTGTGAACCTGCTCTATGACTGCTTGCTCTGCTGATTATACCCCACTTTGACTATGGGGGTGTGTCAGAATGTATTTGCTGTCTAGCCTGCAGTGGGGTACTCTGTAATGAGAACAACCCAGTTTAGGGTGTTGTACTTGTATCCCCACTCTTGCTAGTGAAACCCTCATTCTCCTTTCCAATTCTCTCGACACTCAACTCTCTCGACATCCTTCCTAGCCATGGTTCCTAAGTCACTACTATTCTAACACCGAGAATTGAAGACGAACGTGTAGAACGCCAGGAAACTGAACCAGAACCAAGGCTGAAGGTGTAACCCTGTGACGACCGCTGCGTAGCCTGGTCATCAAGCCAAGAGGCGTCTGAGTGACCTGTGAGGACAACGTCACCCCGTCCTCCAAGCACGAGCCCCATGCCCGATGTACTGCACAAGTAGCGTAGTACCCTCTTGGCAGCATCCATGTGCACCTTTTGGTGTCGACCAGGAGCCACGTAGCGAGCCAGAAGGCCAAGAGGGTACGCAAGGTCAGGACGAGTGCAAGTCATCAGGTACATGAGGCAGCCCACTAACTCTGGGTAAGGACCACTCGGCTCTACGGACTCGTCCGAAGGTGGAGCTGAGAGCGAGTGACCTGTAGCCAGAGGAGTGGCCTGTGCTGAGGACCAGGTGAAATCGAAGCGCTGAAGGACCTGCTGCACCATGTGTGACTGAGTCAGTGTGATGGTGCGGCGTGCTCTGTCCCGGGTGATCTGCAAGCCAAGGTAGCTGCGCAGTTCACTCAGGTCTGTGCACGTGTGTCTCTTCTGCAGCTCCGAATTCACCAGGGTGAGAGCCTCAGTGTCAGCAGTGGCAAAGACCAAGTCGTCGACGTACACAAGAACGTAGAACGGCGGCAGCGAAGTGTCGGTGCGCAAAAACAGCGACGGGTTAGCAGTCGACGGAGCAAACCCAAGAGCCGCAAGCGTCGTCCTCAGTGTGTCGTGCCACACACGTGGCGCCTGGCGGAGACCGTAGACCGGCCGCCGGAGGCTCTACTGGGTACCTGCAGGGAACGACCCAATGAAGCCAGGAGGGTGGCGCAGCCAAATCTCCTCGTGTAGGCTGCCCTGTAAGAAGGCTGTGCTGAAGTCAAGAGAGTGAAGCTCGTAGTCACGCTGAGCGGCAACGTGCAGCAGCACCCGAAGAGTGGTCATCTTCGGGGTGGGGGAGAAGGTCTGGAAGAAGTCAACTCCCTCTCGCTGACTGAAGCCTCGAGCCACGTAACGAGCCTTGAAGACAGGCGGAGAACCTGGCGGCCGCTTCACCCTGAAAATCCACATGCCACTGACAATGTTCGCCCCAGAAGGGGGAACCTCGTCGACGTAGGTGCCTGTGGACTTCCAGGATGCTATCTCTGCGTCCATGGCTGTCTGCCACTGAGAGGAGTACTCACCCGCGATCGTCTCAGCGTAAGAGCGCGGGGTAGGGATGTCTGGTGCATCCGGGTCTCCCTCAGGGGCAAGCAGCATGGATACGAGGTGAGGCGCAGCGGCTGCAAGACACTCAAGGTCCTCCTGCCTGTCCTCAAGGACGTCCGTGCCAAGAGCACACTCACCCCCGACGGACGGAGGACAGACAGACTCAGACTCAGCAACAAGACTGGCGGCGTAGTCTAGACGACAGTGAGCAGCAAAGGCAACAAGCTCAGTGACTAAGGCAGACGTAGCAGCAGACTCAAACGACGGGTCAGTGACAACAGTGGCAAGCAGACGCGTGACAGTAGAGTGCTCAGCACGAAACCGGTCAGACACAGGGTCAGCAACGACATGCAGAGGGGACGCAGGAGGAGGCGGCAGAGGAACACGCGGTGAAGGAGAGGAAGGACGACGAACTACAAGGGGAGGGCCGGAGACAGCCGGCTGGCTCTGACGAGGAACACGACGACCGGAACTGGCAGGGGAGACAGGACGCGACACAGGCTCACGACGCTCTGCAAGGCCACCAGGCTGCTCTGTGTACGGAGAAGGAGCAGGCAGCGGCGAGCCAGGCTGTAACGGAAGACCAGTAGACGAGGGAAGACCGAGAACCTGGCGAAGTGCAGAGTCAGGTGGTGGCTGAGACGATGGAGACGGCGGAGCAAAGAGCAGGCGCGGCTGAGCAGTGCCACCAGCACGAGCAGCACCAGCCCCTCCAGCAGCTCCAGTACCTCCAGCAGCTCCAGCACCCCCAGCAGCTCCAGCACCTCCAGCAGCTCCAGCAGCTCCAGTACCCTCAGCAGCTCCAGCACCGCCAGTAGCTCCAGTACCTCCAGCAGCACCACCACCAGTCCCAGCAGCTCCAGTACTCCTAGTACGAGCACCTCCGGGACCAGCGACACCAGCAGAAGAACCTCGAGCAGGAGAGCCCTGAGGTGCAGAAGTGGGACGCTGACGGCGACCGTACCAGTCGTGCAGCTGCTGTGAGGTGAGGGGCACATGCGGACGAAGACGACTACTCCAAGGAGACCGCGTAACAGCAGCCTCAGAACCCTCAGGCAACGCACCCCCAGGCTCAGCACCCCCAGGCTCCGCACACACAGGCTCAGTACCCCCAGACGCAGCACCCCCAGGCTCCACACACTCAGCGCCCCCAGACTCGGCACCCCCAAGCTCCGCACCCCCAGGGACAGCACCACTCGCAGCAGGACCGGAGTCACCAGTGACCTCAACAGGCGTAGGCGCAGGGGGGTCTACCTGAGAGACACCTGAAGGAGCAGGACCTGGCGCGGGGAGGGGGTCTACCTGGGGAGGACCTGGGGCGAGAAAGAGCGGCGGGGGGGGGGCGAGGAGCAGTGCGGTAGGGAAGAGGCGGTAAAAGGGGACCGACTCGTCAAAGGTGACGTCCTGAGACGCAAAGATACGGCGCGAGGCGGGGTGGTAAAACTGCCAGCCAGGCGCGTCAGGGACAAAGCCAAGGAAGACGCAAGGAATGGCGCGAGGGGAGAGCTTGTCCGCGGTGGTATCACGGACAAAGGCACGAGCACCCCAGACCCGGAAACGCGACGCGTCGCCAACCTTCCCCGTCCACAGCAGTGTGGGCGAGGTCTCCGGCAAGGAGACACGGGGCCAAAGGTTGAGCTGATGCGCGGCGTATCGGACCGCAAACGGCCACAGAAAATGGGGGGCAGCCGCATGGATCATGGAGGTACGAGCGACCTCCATGACTAAGCCAATGCGGCGCTCAGCAACCCCATTCTGCTGCGGAGAGGCCGGAAGCGTGAAAGTCTGGCGGATGCCGTGCTCCGCACAGAAGGCTGCCAAGAGGTCTGAGGAGAACTCACCACCTCTGTCAGAGTGCAGACGCAGGACAGGAAATTCCGACTGGAACCGCTCGCGGAGCTGGAGACAAGTAGCGCGGATCCAGGGGATCAAAACATCAGGGACATCCCCCTTGGTCTGCAAGGGGAAGACCGTGGTGTAGCGCGTGTAGTCGTCGACAACCAGCAGGAAGTACCGCTCGTGGCCCTGTCCACGGACGCGGGCTGGGCCCCACACGTCCAGGTGGAGAGTCTGCAGGGGAGCCTCTGTGGGAGGGAACGAGGAGGAGTGAGGAGCGGCGCGCTGCCGCCCCTCGACACAGGGAAGACAGGGAGGAGCAGGCGAGGGTGGGAGGGGAGGGAGAACCCTGGGAAGACCAGAGACAAGGACACGGCGGTGCATGCTACGAAGGCGCTGCACCGAGGGGTGACCAAGGCGGTGGTGCCAAATGAAGGTCTGGTGCGACAAAGCGCGGCACGAGCAGGGGGTCGCTAGCTGACCTGACGCAGACGCAGACGCAGCGACCTGAGGGGACACAGTAGTCAGTGTGTACAAACTCGAGCCAGGCGCACGGGTAAACGTGGCCAGGTGCCGGCCCGTCCGGGAGCACGTACAGTGGGTCACGCGCTGACCTCCAGGAGTGAACTGGTCAACCCACTGGTCCTGGAGGTCAGCACCACTCACCAAGTTCGTAGAGAACGAGGGGAGGTGAAGACCTGACAGGGAGCCAGACGGGACCGCCGGACACGGCAGGACCGTGGAGGAGCGCGCAAGGACTGGACCCCGAGAGGGGTCTGCCAGGGATACTGGAACCGGCCGGCTGAGCGGCGTGAGGGTGATGCTGTCGCGAAAGAAGGAGCGGGAAGCACCTGAGTCAAGTGTGAAGGTGTACAAGGCCTCAGCAGGCGCAGTACCAAAGAGAGCAGACTCACCAGCACCTGGAGCAGCAGCCTCACCCGCAACCAGAGTAGGAGACGCACTAGCACCTAGAGCAGCAGCCTCACTAGCACCGAGGGCAGCAGGCTCTATACCTGGGTCAGGCGTGGCGCACAGGGAACAGGTACTGTCAGCACTAGTAGGCAATGCATACATGGCAGTGAGAATAGCATCAGAGTCAAGAGCAAATATATCTACCCTCTGCCCAAGCAGCTCCACCCAGTCGGGGAGCTCAGCCTCGTCGCCAAACTCAGTACGCCAGGCATCACTCAGACGGGCGAAGCAGTGGGACTGGGTGTGACTAAGCGTCCCGCAAGTCTGTCCCGTCCGATCACCTGTGCGAATGACGTACGGGCAGCGAACGGTACTCAAAGACCCCCTACTCTGAGCGTACCACTCGTGAAGCTGCTGGGACGTAAGTGTCTCGCGCGGACGCCGCTGCAGCTGCAGCTGGCCACCGCCAGATGCACCCAACTGACCAGCTCTAGGGCGACAGCTACGACGACTACCGCCACAACCCCAACTAGCATACCACTCACGAAGCTGCTGGGGCGTGAGAGACTCGCGCGGACGTCGCTGGAGCTGCATCTGGCCACCGCCAGTACCAGTAGCAGTAGCCTAGCAGAGCAGGCGCGGCAGGCAGGCAGGCAGGCAGGCTGGCCAGCAGGCAGGCTGGCAAGCAGGCAGGCAGGCAGGCAGGCAGGCAGACAGGCAGGCAGGCAGATGGCGCGGCAGCACGCTGACAAGGCAGGCTGGCAGGCAGGCTGGCAAGCAGGCAGGCAGGCAGGCAGGCAGGCAGGCAGGCAGGCAGCTGGCGCGGCAGCGCGCTAACAAGGCAGGTGCTCACCAGTGGCGGGTAGAGTAGGCACTCGCCGGGCGAGCAGGGCCGGCGCTCGGCGGGCGGCTGCACGGGGTCCAGGGGCGGCGTCGCGGGATCCAGGGGCGGCTGCACCAGGGGCGGCTGCTTCAGGGGCCAGGGGCGGTTGCTTCAGGGGCCAGGGGCGGCTGCTCTGGGTCCAGGGGCGGTTGCTCGAGGGTCCAGGGGCGGCTGCACCAGGGTCCAGGGGCGGCTGCACCAAGGGCGGCTGCTTCAGGGGCCAGGGGCGGCTGCTCTGGGTCCAGGGGCGGCTGCTCGAGGGTCCAGGGGCGGCTGCTCTGGGTCCAGGGGCGGCTGCACCAGGGGCCAGGGGCGGCTGCTCTGGGTCCAGGGGCGGCTGCACCAGGGGCGGTTGCTTCAGGGGCCAGGGGCGGCTGCTCTGGGTCCAGGGGCGGCTGCTCGAGGGTCCAGGGGCGGTTGCACCAGGGGCCAGGGGCGGCTGCTCTGGGTCCAGGGGCGGCTGCACCAGGGGCGGCTGCTTCAGGGGCCAGGGGCGGCTGCTCTGGGTCCAGGGGCGGCTGCTTCAGGGGCTAGGGGCGGCTGCTCTGGGTCCAGGGGCGGCTGCTCGAGGGTCCAGGGGCGGCTGCACCAGGGACCAGGGGCGGCTGCTCTGGGTCCAGGGGCGGCTGCTCGAGGGTCCAGGGGCGGCTGCACCAGGGACCAGGGGCGGCTGCTCTGGGTCCAGGGGCGGCAGCAGGCAGTAGGCAGCAGGCAGCAGGCAGAGGCAGCAGGCAGGCAGCAGGCAGGCAGCAGGCAGGCAGCAGGCAGGCGGGCGGCAGCAGGCAGCAAGCAGGAGCGGCCTGAGGGCTGCGTGAGGCTGCTGGCTGCGTGTGGCGGCTTGCTGCACGAGGCTGCAGGCTGCGCGTGGCTACGGGCAGCACGCGCGGCCGCAGGCTGCGTGCAGCGACGGACTGCGCGGGCTGTGGGCTGCTTGCAGCTGCGGGCTGTGCGTGGCGACAGGCAGCGTGCGCAGCTGCAATCTGCGTGCGGCTGCGGGCTGCGTGGGCGACGGGCCGCACGTGCGCGGCTGCGGGTTGGTCGCTAAGCTGCGGGCTACGTTGGGCGACGGGCCGCGCTGGGCGACGGGCTACGCTGGGCGACGGGCTACGCTGGGCGACGGGCTACGCTGGGCGACGGCTTAAGGGGCGAACAGGCAGGGCCGAAACGAGCTACGCGGGCTGCTGAAACGGCGCACGTGGGGAAAAAAAAAAAAGGGACCGCCCGATGGCGCGCGCGGGCAGCCGAGGCGCGCGTAGGCACTAGACAAGACAGGCAATCGTGGTGGGCCCTAATCCTAGGTCCTAAGGACCTATGCTCTATACCATGTTAGAATTGTAGGCAAAAGTGTGTGTCGACTATCGAGAGGATTGGTACAAAGATGAAACCTAAGGGGTTGTACCCCACAGTTGTTGGTGCAACCCTACGGTTTGCACTCGGCTTGTTGTCCGTGTGCGTGAATGTGTGTGTGTATGGAATGGTATGAGGGCATGGGATAATATATATTTCATGCTTATAATTGTGTGTGAATGTTGAGTCATGATGTCGAGTGTGTGTGTCGAGTCAATAGCGAGTTATCGCTAGACGCGTGTTACGCGGTCGTTTGTGTCTCGCGCGCGGTTTCTATTTTGTCGTGCGCGGTTTCTATTTTGTCCTGTGTCGAACGTTCGGCGTGTCGCAGGTGTGTGCAGCAGACCCATCAAGAACTCAAGGATGAGTTTGTGATGAAGAGACCGAGCCTTGGTGTCAAGCCTCAAGTGATTTCGAAGCTTGCCAAAAGGGTACACCTCAAGATATTGAAGATAGTTACATTACTTTGTGTAGTGTAACATTTCATTTGGTGTAGGCCCTAGTGAAGGGTAGTTTCGAGACCCTTCGTGGTTGGGGACAGTGTGGCACTGTTCCACATCACTGTACCTCGGCTCTTGGGGTTTGTAGGAGCTGGGAGTCATTCCCAACTCGTAACTCTTCCTATCTTGTGTTCTAAGACTATAGTGACTGCCATAGTACCGTTCGTTCAAACCGACGCTGTGTCGTCAATTCTTTATCAAATCGTGCAATCTAAATTGCTAATTGTAGACGACGTGAAGACGCTCCAGATCCAATTTGAATCAGGTCATTTGCAGCTGTGAGCAGAACGCTATCAACGTTTGAAGCCGCTGTGCAGAAATCCGTCTGTGCTCTCTATCTTTCGTTTTAGGCACATTCAAGCCTATTGTGACTATAACAACAGTGAACAACCCACTAAGCCTACCCAAACTATAACATATATGAACATATGTTTGACATAGACGTCTCTCAGCGAACAAGCACCGCCGCTCGAAGTGCTCTCTCGTAAGCACGCACAGCCACGACAGAGGCTCTCGCTGAGCTTGCCCGACACCCCCGCCATGGCTGAAATTAATCTCGCGACACTGACGCAAGAGTAGCTCGACCGTCTCGTGCGCCAACTTGAAGATTCGGCACTCGAAATTGCGACACTCACGGCGGAACGCGACTCCGCTCGCCAGCAATCGACGGTGAATGCACCAGCACCAACAAATGCATCTGCACAATCGGAGGAGCCAATCGTCATCTCATCAGGCACATCGACACAGAACAACAGCGTGGGACAACGCTCAGGCGTAGCCAGCGATGGCGCCGCTCACTCAATGCCTGGCATGGAGAGAAATAGGGCCGCACCAAGCCCGCGTGAGCCTCGCGAAGCTCGTCGGCACGTGGAGTTTGCCGCAACAAGCGGCAACCATGACATCATGGCACCAATGCCACTCAAGCCGCAGCGCCTGCCCTGTTTCGATCCAAGCCAACGTGGAGGTCCGACGGTTCAATCGTGGGTCTTCACGATGAACGTTTTTTTCGACGCGAATTACGTCGAGTCGGACGCAGCAAAGATTCGCTACGCCGTTTCGCTGCTGAGGGGCCCCGTTATGGACTGGTGGTGAGTCATCGTGACGTCGCCACGCGCCTACGAGCCACCGTCGCAAGAGGAAGGGCCCACGGGCCCAGCCGTCACCTTGAGTTCATTTTGCGAGACAACCCAGATAGCACATGGGATGTGTGGTGCGCAGGGCTTCGGGCGTGCTTCGAGCCGATCGCGGATTCTACTTCGGCGCGTCAGAGACTGCGTACTTGTCGGCAGCTCGGATCACTTCAAGACTACACGAGCGGTTTTCTCGCATTATGCGAGCAATTCGGCTACATGCATGAAGCGGAGCGGGTGGACCGTTACGTCGGAGGGCTGAAGCCGGACATCTCGTAAGAAATCATGCTACGCGGGCTCTCAAATTTTAACAAGATCCTCGCGCTCGCCGAGAAAATCGACATTTTGCGCCGTCTGAGACCGGTATCCTACTACGGACATCGTCCTCGGGGACCGATCGAGCATGCCTCCGTACATGCCGTTGCGACCAATGCAGCTGCCGCGCTGTTTATGGGGCGCTGCTTTGCTTGCAATCGGCCGGGCCATCACAAGAGCGAATGCCCAGAGGAGCTGAGGTGCCGCGGAACAGAGCAGGGGAGGGAGTCTCAAAGGCAAGGAAACACCAGCAGTCAGTAGAAGTTGGGCCAACTACTAACGAGACTGCCTGCTCGCCCAACCTCACCGACCCTCACCGAGTCACAGTACCGATTCACGCTATTGATCGGGCTCAGATGAATAAGGAGGGTACAATGTCGGATTGCCCAGTACTGATCCGCGGGAAACGCGATGCACGGTCGGCCGCGAGTGACGGTGAAGGCGGAAGGCAGCGCCGCGGGCCAGCAGAATGCGGCAGAGTCGAACAAGAAGGCGCTTCGGCTGCGCGCCTTGCAGGAGAAGGTGCTGACGTGGCACCAGCAGAACGTGTGAGTGGCAGAGGGGGTTGCTAAAATGCCACTAGTAGAGGCGGCTTCCTTAAGTGGCATTTTGCACTGATCGGGTTTGCAAGATGCTTTAGATTCGACTCAGAAGCAATCAGGATTTGCAGAGTGCAGTGCGATGCAATGCAGCTCGACGCATCGCATTCCCATAATATTATCACAAATAATATTTCTTCCCCGTCCTCCCACCCGCCAGCGCTGCTCTACTGCAGCAGAACCCTGATGTGTACGTGGCGCAAAAAGGCTTCCCCACTTTCCCCGCCCTCCTGATAAAATTTGAGTTCTGAGATGTCTCAAGACTCAACTTTTATCACGTGGCCTGGAGCAGAACCCTGATGTGTACGTTACGTTGTTTCCTGCCAACCCTCCTGCCTGACTTTCAGCTACTCGTCCGAAGCACTATCAGCCAGCGCTTCCCTGCTGGAGCAGAACCCTGACGTGTATGTGACGTGGAACTACTGCACAAAGGCCTTTGTGCACAGATGCAGTGCTCTGGAGGCAGGGGAGGATGGATGCAGTGAGTTCTGACGTGTACGTGGTGTGGAACTACCGCAACCGCAAGAGCCGAGTTTTGAGACGTCTCAAAACTCGCAGAGAATCCAGACGTGTACGTGGTGTTCATGTGGTGTGGAACTACCGCAAGAGCCGTCCTCCTTCCCTCTCTCCCTCCCGCTCTTTGCCCTTCCTCCTGACTTACCACTCCCACCAGTTACTCACCGGAGGCACTAGCAGCCAGTGCTGCTCTTTTGGAGCAGAACCCCGATGTGTATGTGACGTGGAACTACCGCAAGAAGGCGTTTGTGCACCGATGCGGTGCTCTGGAGGCAGGGGCGGATGGATGCAAGGAGGGGAAAGCGGTGCAGAGGGGTGCGGAGGTGAAAGAGGGGGAGAAGGAGGCGCAGGGGAAAGAGGGGCAGGGGGAGGGGGGGAAAGAGGCGCAGGGAGAGGGGGGATCAGGGGAGGGGAAGGTTGGGACGGATGGGGCAATGGGGGAGGCGGAGAGTGCGGGAGGGAGGGATGGCAATGGGGAGGAGAGTGAAGTTGGGGAAGAGAATGATGGGAAGAAAGGAGACGAGCAGGAGAGGGTGGAACGGGAGCGAGAGGAGAGGGCGAGGAGGGAAGAGGAGAGGAGGGAAGAGGAGAGGAAGATAGAGGAAGCTAAGGGGAAGCTCGCTGACGAAGAGCTGAAACTGGTTAGTGGTGGGAGTGCGATTGACAGTACCATTGGCGCAACAAAGTGCCTTTTGAGTCGATTCAAAAGTCTCCCTCACTCCTCAACTCCCTCCATCCCCTCCCTCCCTTTCCAACTCTTCCCCCATCACACACGCACAGCAGATAGAAGCAGAGCTCCGGACCAACCCCAAGTGATACGGCGCCTGGCACCACCGAAAGTGGCATTTGAGTCACCTCAGAAATCTATCCTTCAACTCTCCCTCTCCAACCCAACTTCTCCCACACACTCACATCAGCTAGAAGCAGCATCATTAGGACCAATCCGAAGTGCCCCATGAGCAACTCCAAAAAAAAATCTCCTCAACACTCTTCCCCCTCCCCTCCCCCCCACAACACTCACATCAGATAGAAGCAGCGCTACGGACCAACCCCAAGTGCTACGGCGCCTGGCACCACCGCAAGTGGCTCTTCGCCCTCTCCTCCACCGAGCCTCTCCCGAGCCTTGGAGCCAGCCTCGGGCCAAGCCTGCAGCAGGTTCGGATCAACCTGCGGTCGGACGCTCGGATTGCCCGGGAGCAGAAGCTGCTGGGGATGATGCTGAGTGCAGATGACCGGAACTTCCACGCCTGGGACTACTGGAGGTAACGGTGGAGAGGGATTGAGAGCGGTGATGATGGGTGTGTGTGGTGGTAATGCAGGTGCTGTGCTGTTAGTAGGGATGAGCAAGGGGCGAACACGAACATGTTCGTGTTCGCCCCTACACGAACACATCCGTTTGCCGGACCGAACACTGTTCGGTTCGGCGAACACTTTAAGCAAAAACACGTGTTCGCCGTTCGCCTGTGAAGGCGTGTTCGGGCGAACCTCAAACACTGTTTGGCGAACACTTTAAGCAAAAAATACAAACCTGTTCGTTCGAGGCGAACCGAACAGGTGTTCGCCCTTGTGCTCATGTCTAGCTGTGAGTAAACTTATGCTGACTGCAGATGACCGGAACTTCCGTGCCTGGGAGTACTGGAGGTAAGTGAGGAATTGAGAGCGGTGATGATGGGTGTGTGTGGTGGTGATGCAGGTTTTGTGGGTTACAATGATGCTGACAGCAGATGATCGGAGGAACTTCCATGCATGGGACTACCTGCAGGTTGAGAGGGATTGAGAGTGGTGACATTGGGTGTTTGTGGTTATGCTGCAGATGCCGTGGTTAACAATGCTCACCATTTATTTCCCTTGCATGCTCTCCTTTTTGCCATCCCAATGCAGCTTTGTCTCTTCACTCTCTTTTTGTTTTCTTCACTCTCTTTTTGTTTTCTTCACTCTCTTTGCCACCTCCATATGCTGATCTCTTCTGCAACCTCCTTGCATATGCCCGTCCTAACCATTCTCAACCGTTCATTTCCCACGTGACTCGAATAACGTCATCCAAGGGCCTCTAACGCGCCCTCCTTGTTTCCGTTCCGTTCCTTTCCCTTCATTATGGTTCGCCCTTTGCTGCTGCTGCCCATTCTGTCCCAACCATGCATGCAGGTTTATCTCGCATGTGGAACACATGTCACCATCCAAGGACCTGGAATTTACAATGGAGCGAATCAATGCCAACTTCAGCAACTACAGCGCTTGGCACAGCCGCAGGTGTGCCGCTGAGCTAGTGCTGTTAGCAGGTGAGGAGAGGGAGAGGAGGAGGTGAGTGGATGGATGGATGGATGGATGGATGGATGGATGGATGGATGGATGTGTCTCCCATTGTTGCTCCTACCACCCTCGTGCAACCCTCCCTTTTCCCCTGATTTCTCTCTTTCCGCCCCACACCAAACACCTGCTAAAGCTCCACGCCCACTCACCACCCTCACGCGCAGGAGGGCTGTCCCAGGCAGCACTGGAGGAGGAGTGTGAGTTGCTGCGCCAGGCCTTCTTCACTGTTCCTTTGTTTTCATCTGCTCTCCCCTGTTTCGCCCTCCCCTCCTCTGCCTGCCCTGCAGCAAGCTGCTGCCAAAGCTCCATTCCCACCCATCCCCATCCATCTCCACTCCTTTAGAAGTGGGAGGGCTACCCCAGGCAGCTCTGGAGGAGGAGTGTGAGTTGGTGCAACGGGCCTTCTTCACCGAACCTGACAACCAGAGCAAGTGGATTTTCCACCACTGGCTGTTCCCACCCACCCACTCCCCTCTCTCAACCGTGCCCTCTCTGGCTTCTTCCCCTCTGCTGTCCCTTTTTCCAGCCTCCCCTCCTCCGCCTTACCGGCAGCAAGCTGCTGCCGAAGCTCCACGCACCCACATCCACTGCTTCGGAATCAGGGTTGCCGCAGGCGGCATTGGAGGAGGAGTGTGAGTTGGTGTGGCAAGCCTTCTTTACCGAACCTGACGATCAGAGCGGGTGGATGTATCAGCACTGGCTGCTGCAGCAGATCCTGCCTCCCCTGCCGCCCCGCCTCCTGGCCTCCTGGCCTTTGCCTGGAAGCAACGTCTGCTTCTCCTCACCTGAAACTTCTCCTGAGAAATCTCCTGAGAAGCGTCCTGCTGCTGCAGAGGGCGCTGCTGACGCTGCTGCCAAAGCTTCTGCCGAAGCTGCGGGCCAGGTTCGGATGTCGGCGGTGCTGGTGTTTTCTGAACCAGTGATGGGGGTGACAAGAGAGAATGTGACTCTAACGGGGGCTGGATTCAAGGTGGGTGAGTGGAGGGCCGTGGGTGGAGAAGAGGCGTGGCTTTCCTGGCGGCAGGCTGGATGTGGGAGGGAAATGGGCGGTGATGTGAGGTCAGAGAGCGCGTCTGTTTGGACTTCGGAAGTTGTTTGCTCCACATCTCATGGCACGGCTGCTGCTGCTACCACTACTGCTACTGATGCTTCTGCTGCGGGTGAGAGGGAAACAGGTGCAGCTGTCTCTTCTCCCTCCATCCTGGTCTCGTGGGTGTTTGCCCGTCCATCCACCATCCTCTCCGCTGCTACTGGTCAGTCTCTCCTGCTCCCCCACACAGACAGCAACAGCAGCGAGGGCAGCAATGGCAGCAACAGCTTCTTCACGTTGCAGCTACAAAGAAGCGCCTTGAGGCCGTCTTTTGAGACGTCTCAAAAGAGGCCGTCTCAGACCGATGGCACTCCCTCGCATGCGACTGTATCGCCCACAAGCCTTCCCACTCACGACTGGTCCAACTTCCGCTGGCCCTCCTCCTCACCTTCGCCTCCTGCCCCTGCTGATGATGGTACTGCCGCTGGTGGCGCTACTGGTGGTGCCAGTGCTGCTAGTGCTGCTGCATCTGCGGCTGCTGCTGGTATGGAGGGCAAGGTGGAGGAGCAGCTGGGGGAAGGCAGTGAGCAGTGGCGAGTGGACGTGGTCCAACGGGAGATTGACATGTGTCACGAGCTCATTGAACTGGAGCCTGACAGGTGTGTGTGTGTGTGTGTGTGTGTGTGTGTGTGTGTGTGTGTGTGCATGTTCGTGTGCGTTCATGCGTGTGTGTGTGTGTGTGTGTGTGTGTGCACGTGTGCGTGCGTGCGTGCGTGTGTGCGTGTGTGTGTGTGTGGTATCCCACCTCATCCCTTCCCTCCTGTTTCCCTCGTGCTTCCTTTTCTCCTGCTTCTTTTCCTCCGCACCCCCTAACCCTTCTCCGCTTCTTCCCCTCCCCTTCTTCCCCCTCTCCCCTTTCTGACCCCTCTTTCGCCCCTGTCCCCTTCCCTCTTTCCCCGCTCCCCCTCCTGAACCTGACCCCTCCCCCCCCCCTTTCCTTCCAGCAAGTGGGCTCTCCTCTCTCTCGCCCGCCTCCTATCCACACGCCGCCAGCTCCACCACCTCCTGCCGAACCTTCCCGTGCAGGATCGGCAAGATGCCGAGGCTCGCGAGGAGGTTTGGTCGTTGCTTCGGCGGCTGGTGGGAATCGATCTGTACCACAAAGAGTATTATCAGGATCTGCTAGAAGCGTTGGAGGGAGACAAGGTGAGGAGGGTATGCGTCATAGAGGAGCGTGAGTTCTATGTCGACTCTGTGGTCACCTTGGTGGGGATCGATCCATACCACAAGGAGTATTACTGGGACCTGCTAGAAGCTCTGGAGGGGGAAGATGTATGTGGGGTGTGTGTTCAAAAGGAGGAAGTGTGTAAAGAAGGAGTGTGAGTTCTGTATCGATCCGTACCACAAGGAATATTACCGGGACCTGCTAGAAGCTCTGGAGGGGGAAGAGGTGAGAAGGGTATGCTAAGGATGAGGGTGGGGAGTGCCCCACGTGGGGGGGAGTGCCCATGTGGTGTCTAGCCCCCACCATTTGGTATCCAATCTTGTCCCCTCATTTATCTCACCCATCTTTGTACCTCCTCCCTTCGCCCGCCTTGATTCACCCCATCAGGACACACCCACCACAATCAACACCACCAATGTTTGCAGCAGCACCACCACCAACGCCGCCAGCAGCAGCGGCACCACCACCACAGTGTGTCTGTCCCATAAAAGCCTCTCCTGCCTACCATCGCCCCATCTCCTGCTACCTGTCTCCACGCTGCTGCTCGCCCACAACCGCATCTCCACCCTCGCAGGTGCGTCATTCAGATAGGAATCAGCTGGTCTTGATAGATCAGGTCACACCCAACATCATCAGCAGCAGCGTGTGTCTGTCCCATCGCCACCTCTCCTGCCTACCATCGCCCCATCGCCTGCTGCCGGTCTCCACGCTGCTGCTCGCCCACAACCGCATCTCCACCCTCGCAGGTACGCTATCTGCAGCCCTCTCCCTTCAAACGAGCACCAGTACCAGCAGCAGCGTGTGTCTGTCCCATCGCCACCTCTCCTGTCTGCCAGCGCCCCATCGCCTGCTGCCAGTCTCCACGCTGCTCCTCGCCCACAACCGCATCTACACCCTCGCAGGTGCGCCCTCCATCCTTAGTCCTCTCCTCACGTACAGCGAGTCCTGTCCCATCGCCACCTCTCCCGAGTCCTGCCTGCCAGCGCCCCATCGCCTGCTGCCAGTCTCCACGCTGCTCCTCGCCCACAACCGCATCTACACCCTCGCAGGTGCGCCCTCCATCCTTAGTCCTCTCCTCACGTACAGCGAGTCCTGTCCCATCGCCACCTCTCCCGAGTCCTGCCTGCCAGCGCCCCATCGCCTGCTGCCAGTCTCCACGCTGCTCCTCGCCCACAACCGCATCTACACCCTCGCAGGTGCGCCCTCCATCCTTAGTCCTCTCCTCACGTACAGCGAGTCCTGTCCCATCGCCACCTCTCCCGAGTCCTGCCTGCCAGCGCCCCATCGCCTGCTGCCAGTCTCCACGCTGCTCCTCGCCCACAACCGCATCCACACCCTCGCAGGTGCGCCCTCCATCCTTAGTCCTCTCCTCACGTACAGCGAGTCCTGTCCCATCGCCACCTCTCCCGAGTCCTGCCTGCCAGCGCCCCATCGCCTGCTGCCAGTCTCCACGCTGATCCTCGCCCACAACCCCATCCACACCCTCGCAGGTGCGCCCTCCATCCTTAGTCCTCTCCTCACGTACAGCGAGTCCTGTCCCATCGCCACCTCTCCCGAGTCCTGCCTGCTAGCGCCCCATCGCCTGCTGCCAGTCTCCACGCTGCTCCTCGCCCACAACCGCATCTACACCCTCGCAGGTGCGCCCTCCATCCTTAGTCCTCTCCTCACGTACAGCGAGTCCTGTCCCATCGCCACCTCTCCCGAGTCCTGCCTGCCAGCGCCCCATCGCCTGCTGCCAGTCTCCACGCTGCTCCTCGCCCACAACCGCATCCACACCCTCGCAGGTGCGCCCTCCATCCTTAGTCCTCTCCTCACGTACAGCGAGTCCTGTCCCATCGCCACCTCTCCCGAGTCCTGCCTGCCAGCGCCCCATCGCCTGCTGCCAGTCTCCACGCTGCTCCTCGCCCACAACCGCATCCACACCCTCGCAGGTGCGCCCTCCATCCTTAGTCCTCTCCTCACGTACAGCGAGTCCTGTCCCATCGCCACCTCTCCCGAGTCCTGACTGCCAGCGCCCCATCGCCTGCTGCCAGTCTCCACGCTGCTCCTCGCCCACAACCGCATCCACACCCTCGCAGGTGCGCCCTCCATCCTTAGTCCTCTCCTCACGTACAGCGAGTCCTGTCCCATCGCCACCTCTCCCGAGTCCTGCCTGCCAGCGCCCCATCGCCTGCTGCCAGTCTCCACGCTGCTCCTCGCCCACAACCGCATCCACACCCTCGCAGGTGCGCCCTCCATCCTTAGTCCTCTCCTCACGTACAGCGAGTCCTGTCCCATCGCCACCTCTCCCGAGTCCTGCCTGCCAGCGCCCCATCGCCTGCTGCCAGTCTCCACGCTGCTCCTCGCCCACAACCGCATCCACACCCTCGCAGGTGCGCCCTCCATCCTTAGTCCTCTCCTCACGTACAGCGAGTCCTGTCCCATCGCCACCTCTCCCGAGTCCTGCCTGCCAGCGCCCCATCGCCTGCTGCCAGTCTCCACGCTGCTCCTCGCCCACAACCGCATCCACACCCTCGCAGGTGCGCCCTCCATCCTTAGTCCTCTCCTCACGTACAGCGAGTCCTGTCCCATCGCCACCTCTCCCGAGTCCTGCCTGCCAGCGCCCCATCGCCTGCTGCCAGTCTCCACGCTGCTCCTCGCCCACAACCGCATCCACACCCTCGCAGGTGCGCCCTCCATCCTTAGTCCTCTCCTCACGTACAGCGAGTCCTGTCCCATCGCCACCTCTCCCGAATCCTGCCTGCCAGCGCCCCATCGCCTGCTGCCAGTCTCCACGCTGCTCCTCGCCCACAACCGCATCTCCACCCTCGCAGGTGCGCCCTCCATCCTTAGTCCTCTCCTCACGTACAGCGAGTCCTGTCCCATCGCCACCTCTCCCGAGTCCTGCCTGCCAGCGCCCCATCGCCTGCTGCCAGTCTCCACGCTGCTCCTCGCCCACAACCGCATCTCCACCCTCGCAGGTGCGCCCTCCATCCTTAGTCCTCTCCTCACGTACAGCGAGTCCTGTCCCATCGCCACCTCTCCCGAGTCCTGCCTGCCAGCGCCCCATCGCCTGCTGCCAGTCTCCACGCTGCTCCTCGCCCACAACCGCATCTCCACCCTCGCAGGTACACTGCCATTAGCCCTCTTGCAGCTCTCCCCCCTGAATTTAGTGGTCTCAAAAATCGCTCTGTTCACTTCCTCTCCGCTCACCCATGCTCCGGGCTTCAAAGCCCTTCAGAATCTGCAAGTCACCGGCCTCTCTCACAGCCGCATCGCTTTCTCCTCAGCCATAGCCCCTCTCGCTCCCTTCCATCCCTCCGTGCTCTGGTAGCTTCTCAACACGTATTGATGTGCTCTCCGTCATCCCATCCCCCCAGAATTCGAGGCGCTTCAGAATCTGCAAGTCCTAAACCTCTCTCACCGCATCGCCTTCTCCTCAGCCATAGCCCCACTCGCCCACCTGCCCGCCCTCCGCGCTCTCTCCCTCGCCCACAACCTCCTCAGAGGCAAACCAGTCCACCGCCACCGGTACCGCTATTGACACTGCCACCCATCCCCCCGATGCAAGCGCCAAAACCCTGCCTTCCCATCCCCTTTCTCATCTCCCTTCCCGTCCCGCTTCCCATACCCCTTCCCATCCCCTCCCCCTTCCCAACCCCTCCAGGTTTCGAGGCGCTTCAGAATCTGCAAGTCCTAGACCTCTCTCACAACCACATCGCCTTCTCCTCAGCCATCGCTCCTCTCACCCACCTGCCCGCCCTCCACGCTCTCTCCCTCGCCCACAACCTCCTGGGAGCCAAACCAGTCGACCGCCACCGCTACTGCCACCCCTCCCCCCGATGCAACCGGGTCCCCTCATGGGTCACACCAAGACACAGCACAGGGGAGGAAGTTTCCGGTAGGGCTACCAGTAGGGCAGGCAGCCCTTCATCTGCCGAACCTGCTGCCGAAGCAGCAGCAGCAGAAACAGTGGGCCTGGTTAGGCAGCATCCAAACCTGTGGGCGGCGCTGCAGTGCCTAGGCGGGCTGCGCCAGGTGGCAGTGCTTGATTTGACGGGGAATCCTGTTTGTCAGTGGGATGGGTATCGGGAACTGGTTCTTTCCCTGCTGCCGCAGCTGGTGCTCTTTGATGGGGCCCCTGTGTGAAGCAATGTTGTTGCTGCTGCTGCCACTCTGCTGCTGTGATTGCTTCTTGCTCTGCTGCCACAGCTGGTGCTCTTTGATGGGGGCTCTGTGTGAATGCTGCTGCTGCTGCTGCTGCTGCTGCTTCTGATGCGGCTGCGATTGGTTCGTTGGTGCTCAATGGAGGGTGGGGGTGGGGGGAGAGGGGGATGGGGGACACACCTCTAAGCACTGCTCCTACAGCCGGCTGCAGTTGGTCCCCCCATCCAAGCCCAGATTATCTGCGTTGCTGCCCCTGCAGATTGACACGCTGATTCACAATGTGCCCTAGAATCAACCAACAAGATGGTACCGTAGGCCTGAGTTACCGTACATATTTCTGTGAATGTGAGGGAGGTCCAAGTGTATGTTACCTTCGCACAAGCATGCGATTACCCTATCTTAAATACTTCTGAGGCGCCCTAATAGTTCACAATGTGACCTAGAATAGAATCGGTCAACAAGACGGTCAGCAAAGGACCTGGTATTTCTGTGATTGTTGTGAGGCCCTTCGCACAAGCGTGCGACTGTCTTTGTTACCGCCGCTGGAAGTGTTTGTCCTTGTAGCAAGCAACTCTAATGGGCGCTGAAGAAAACTCTTGCTGATGGATGGAACATTACAAAAGCATTCCCCCTCCAAGCCTCGTCTTTACTACTTTGCTACACATATTTACTTGAGTAGCTGCATGTCTGCATGAGTGGTGCTTCTGCAATGTTCCCCCACCACCCCATCACCACCTCCCACTGTCTCAAACTGCGATGGCAAGTCACACCCTCCCACCAATCATTCTCCCTGAGAGAGCCCCGTCAGCACCGGAGAATCCGAGGAACAGGTCATCATTGGTGATCCCTTGGATCGATGCCAGCACATCCGCCACGTCAGCAGCTGACGCCCTCACGACATTGGCCAGCGACCAGGACACAGGGCTCATGGGCACCCACGTGCCAGGCAGGGCGAGGGCTGCTGAAGCAGCAGCGGTGCTGCAGGCGTTGCCCTTGAAAATGGCCTGTGAGTCCGGGGCCTTGGTCACTCCTGCTGCGTACAGGTAGTATGTGAGCAGATAGTCCGAACCACTGCATTGGGGAGGAGAGGATATGGATGGAGGGAGAGGGAAGGGAGCGTGGTTCAACATCGAGTCAACTAAGGTCAAGACGAGTCAGCAGGAGACAGCGTGGACCAACGAGGAGTCAACGAGAGTAATCAAGAGTCAGCGAGTCAGCTCAAATAAAAAATTCAACACAGGTCAACACGAGTCACTCACATCTTGAGGATCTGAATATCAGCAGCGCCAGCTTGGAGTGACAGCAGGCCGTTGCATGACGTCAGCACAGCACGCAGCATGCCCGCCTGCTGGGGAAGAAGATTAGCCACATCAGCCATCAGACCGCTATTGACACCATCGCCGTTCAGGGCGCCGTTCAGAGCGTTCAGCATCCCAGCGAGGGCGGACACGTTCCCGTTGAGCCCCGCGACTCGCTGCGTCACAGCCGCCAGCCGCTGCCTCACAGCCGCGCGGATCGCCGCGCTCCGACTCGCGGAAGCTGCGGTGGCGGCTGCGCTGGACAAAGCCGCTGGTCCTACGCGCGAGCCTACGCCCGAGCCTGCACCCGAGCCTATTATCCCCGCCAGGTCCTTGTTCAGAGCGGCGATGCTGCTGCTGATCGATGAAATGTTAGATCGAATCCCCGAGATCTGGGAAATCAAATCCGTGAAGTTCAGATTCGACCCTGAGATGTTCAGCGCGTTCAGACTGGCGAGGCTCCCGTTCAAAGCAGCGAGGTTGGATTTTAGCGCGGATATCTGCGCCTGGAGCGCGGCTTCCGCGGACGCGTTGCTGCTGAGGGCCGCCGAGATCTGCTCGAGCGATTTCTTGAGAAGCTCGTCGAGAGACGTGATCTGACCGTTGAAGGACGACTGGAGGCCGGAGAGCGCTGAGTTGAGTGTCGCTGCGGGGCTGCTGCTGCTGGCTGATGCGGCTGCTGCCGCGACGGCTGAGTTCAAGCCGGGTGGAAGACGGTTGGTGGGTAGACTGCCGACGCCGGGGAGAAACCGGCCTGCTTCGACTCGTTGTGTTGCCAAAAGAACTACGAATATTCAAAAGGGGGAGAGATGAGTTTCGGGGCGATTTGAAACTGAAATTATGTGATGGAAATGGCTTATTTGTATAACGTGTGAAGTTTTTTTTTTTAGTGCTGACAACCACGGTTTGGTGAGCCGTGCTGACAAATTCGCCGGCTTGGAGAAGTGACTTACCAGTGACAAGCAGAGCGACAAGCCCTAGAGTGAAAGGAGCTGCAGTGCGCGCCATGATTGCCGAGCTAGGACGCGAACTTGGCGGAGCTAATAATAGAAGTGTGAATTTTGAGCTTTCTCGGAAAGGCTCTCTTCGACACGGAACGAGAAGCGCAGTGAGCAGCGCGTAATAAGAAATGAGAACGGAGGGCGTAATGTATTAGTGTGATGCGCTGGAGTAGTAAGTTCAGAGCAGATGTTGATTTGTTGAGGGGTCGATGCCCAAATGAATGTCTGGTGCTCGATTTATATGTGTGGGTGGGGGTGAGGGGGTCGTTGGAATTTCGGATTTTTCAGCGCGGACCGCGGATTTTGTGCCTCTGATTGGTTTATTCTCTGCATTCGAGTCGCACGCGGGGTGGCTAGAGAGCGGTGCTGCTGAGGCATGGTCGGAGGAGGCTGCTGTGTGCAAGTGAGGGAATTTGTGGTGCTGTGCTGTGGTGGGCTTTTGACGGTGGGTGAAGGGGTGACAGGCCAATGGATTTTAGTTGACTCGGTGCTTCGTTAGAAGACCGATAGCATTGATGTAGAAGATATCTGAACGATTTTTTTTATAATAACAATCATCTGTTACACATGAGTTTCACCCAACTGCTGCATTTATTGCTCCCTGATGGCGCCCAAGGATAGTCTGCTATTTGGTTCCAGGCTTCAATGTGATTATGAGAATATCGCAGGGTCAAATTCAGTGAGCTACTTTGCTGTAGGCTTGAGAGTGACTATAAGAAATCCCGCAGGGTCGAATTTCGCCCCAATCACCTTCCCCTGAACAGCTCGAGGCAGCTCCACACACCGCCTCTGGTCCCCCGCCTCTACCAGCAGCTCTGCCCCGCCCTTCCACTGGTGATGAGAGAGGAGGATAACAAAAGAGGGAAGAAGGAGGGGGTAAAATCAGCAGGTGCGTGACACGTCCCTGAATGGCTCAAGACAGCATCACACACCGCCTCTGGTCCCCCCGCCTCCATCAGCAGCTCTGCCCCGCCCTTCCACTGGTGAAGGACCAGGGAAGGAGGAGAGAAACAAGGAGAGAAGGGTGGAGAAGGAGGAAGAGCAAAGAATCAGCAGGCATGCTATGTGTGAGTACGTTTTGAGGCCAACCGGCTCGCCTGCTGCAGCTTGACCTCCTGCTTGTCAAACACCCAGAGCTTCATATGGTTGATTGACTCTCTATACCCAGAGCATTGGTGATAGAGAGTCAACCATACCAGAAGAGGGCATGATTGAAACACTGGTCAACAGCCAACACGAAGAGCATTTACAAGCCAACAAGACTCAGGCTCACCTGCTGCAGCTTGACCTCTTGCTTGTCGAATCATCACGGGACGAGGAATACACATAAGAGGAGGGCATTTTGTTTATCCTCAGTGAAAATGCATCTAAGAGCCAAACCGACTCACCTGCTGCAGCTTGACCTCTTGCTTGTCGAACCCCGGCAGAAAAAGACGAACCGTGCACGCCGCCACGTCCACGTCCACCGCCGGAGGAGCCTTCCCCGCACCTTCCCCGTTCATAACTGCCACCGCTCCATCGCTCATCTGACCGGCCGCGGCAGCTACAGCCGCCGGGGCCTCCTCTGACACCACGGGCAGTTCTGCCACGGGCAGCGGAGAAAACTTTTCTGCCAATCCTCCCGATGCTCCCCCCGATGCTACGTCCGATGGGAGAAGGAACACGCCTGAAGGGGACACGCCTGCTTGCACGGCACAGCCCCAGATGCGGCGACACGTGTCGACTGTCGAGTGGCTCGCTGCGTCGGCCAATAGGAAGACGGAGGTGCGGTAGGGGTCGGCAAACGCTGAGACGGCTTTCTGATTGAATGGGTGCAGCAGGTAGGGTGGGAAGAGGAAGAGGAGGAGAGGGGAGGGATTCGACGGAAAGAGTGGGCATGGTGGGAAGGGGGAAAGTGGGACGGGATCAGTGGAAGGGGTTTGACGAATCGAGGGATCAGAAACAGAGAGCAGGAAGAAAGGGGGGCGGTAGTGTGTGATAGGGTTCCTTAGGCGAGGGAGAGGAAGGGTACACGTGCCTCGCTGCGCTGCGCTGCCCATCCTTCCCACCCCCACCAGCACTCCCACCCCCACCAGCACCCCCAGCGCTCCCTCTTTGGAGGAGCCCACGATTGAGTCCAGCAGGCGGGCCACGGAGTCCAGAGCCACTTGAGCCATTAGTCTCCCTACTCACAGAGAGGAAGCAGTCGAGCTTCTCCCATATCTCCGCCTTGCTGCGCTGCCCATCCTCCCCTCCACTCCCAGCAGCGGCACCAGGAATGCTCCCCCCTTTGGAGGAGCCCACGATGGAGTCGAGAAGGCGGGCCACTGAAGGCAGAGCTACACGGCATCACACAGAGAGCCGTAGCTACTCACAGAGAGGAAGGAATCGAGCTTCTCCCATATCTCCACTGTATTGCGCTGCCCATCCTCCCCACCCCCACCAGCAGCACCACCCCCTTTGGACGAGCCCACAATGGAGTCGAGCAGGCGGGCCACAGAGGGCAGAGCCACACGGCCGATGTCCGTCCGCTCTGCCAGGGTGCGAAACCTCCTCAGATACCACCTGGAGCAGATGGGTTGGGTTTGGATGTGGAGGGGTTGAGTTGGGCTCGACTGAGTTGTAATGGGTTGTGATGGGTTGGGATGGGTTGGGAAGGGAGTGAGCGCACAGCTGCTGCTGCCTTGCCAGCACCCCCCCCCCCCCCTCCTTTGGACGAGCCCACAATGGAGTCTAACAGGCGGGCCACAGAGGGCAGAGCCACACGGCCGATGTCTGTCCGCTCTGCCAGGGTGCGAAACCTCCTCAGATACCACCTGGCTCGGATGAGGCAGGGCAGAGGCGAGGTAAGGGATGAAGCGGGGTTGAGCTGGGTTCAGATGGGCTGGGCTGGGATGGGATGGGTTAGCCCAGCTCAGTTGGGTTGGGTTGGTAAGGTTTGCGAAGGGAGTGTGGGCAGAATACACGTGGTTTGGATGGGTTTACTGAAACTGGGTTGGGTTGGGATTGTGGTGCTTACAGCACCCAGGACAGTCTACAGCAAATCATTCCACTCCACTCCACCGCACCGCACCGCACCGCATCTCATCTCACCTCAGTGCTTTGCAACATCCTCTGGACCTCTCACCACCCCGACTCTGCCTCACCCCTTAGTCCTTGTACACCACGTTACCCCATCGTACTTTACTTACTGCCTTACACTGCTCTCAACCACGCCTCACCTGGCTTTCTCCGGGCTAGCCAGCATGCGAAGCACCTCCCAAGTGGTGGCCCCGTCAAACACCACCACCTCCGCCTCCTCCTCCCCCCACGGGTACACCCACTCTCCCGTTGCTGTTGTTGCTCTGCTACCCCTTACATCCCAGCTAACCACATTGCACCACACATCACCGCGAATCACCACATTTCACCGCACTAAACCACACCTCACCTGGCTTTCTCCGGGCTGGCCAGCATGCGCAGCACCTCCCAAGTGGTGGCCCCATCAAACACCACCACCTCCGCCTCCCCCTCCCCCCACGGGTACACCCACTCCCCTGCTGCCGCCCCTTTCTTCCCTGCTGACGTGGCCCGCGGCCCTGATGACGTGGCAAAGGCCAGGAGGCCGCCAGCTGGACGCGCGATGCGCTCCAGGACAGCGACTGCCATTACCGCGTCCATTCCGGGCAGCACCGACAGCTCCTCACCCACCACCTGTTATGGTGATGGCATGGCAACGAATAGGGGTTTGTGATGCAGAGATGTGGTACTGGGGTGGTCCCTTGACTAAGACTGCGACTGCCACGACCACGTCCATGCCTGGTAGAACCGACAGCCCCTCGCCCACCACCAACAGCCCGTTGCCCACCACTGGTGTAGGTTTGAGGTTTACGCTTTGTGCTTTGAACATAACATTGCTAGTTGTTTTTTTTTATATAAACATGACAATGGCCATTGTCAGGTCATTAAGGCAAGAAAAAGGCGTGGTTTTTTCATGAAACCCTAGAAGGTCAAGCCTTAATCTTTAAAATGCTATATATCAAGGAAATCACACTGAGTGATTAAGAACCAACATGCTGATATGTCACCCTCACCAACAGTAACACACTTGCAATAACCCTCACCTCTGCCAGTGCGCCTTGTGTGATTCCCAGTCGCTCGTCCGCCTTCTTTATGATCTCGAGAGGAGCCAGTAGCAGCTGACAGGAACAGAGCCATGCAAAAGGGACAAGGCGCACAGAAGAAACTGGTTGTCAATAATGAAAATCTCAACATTTGCTTTGAGCGCTATTTTAATCAATACAATCAGTAGCAGCTGCCTGGGAATCAGACTCTGAGTTTCCGTACCTTGGTCCCTGGGTTTACTGGTCCGTACCTTGGTGGTTTCCACACGGAGAGCACACAGCAGCGGCGGCTGGGAGGCAGCAGCAGCAGCTGCAGCAGGTGCGGGCACGGGTTGGGGCGAGGGAGTGAGGCGCATGCCTAGAAGCCTGTCGGCCACTCTGTCCTGAGACTGCACCACTAGGCATGTGCGGTACCCCGCTGCTGCATACCGCTGGGTGTGACAGTGGGGAGAGAGGATTGGGGGAAGAGAGGACGCACAGAGAGGTCTCGTTTAGTGGGTGAGACCACAAGATCCAATCTGATCCAGCAAAATCCCATCTGAGGCAACAGAATCCCACCTGAACCAGCAGAATGCCACCCTGAACCAACAGAATGCCACCCTGAACCAACAGAATGCCACCCTGAACCAACAGAATGCCACCTCTGAGCCTGTCGGATGGTACCTGGGCGAGCAGCATGGCACCTGGGTGACTCAGAAGTCACCTGGGCGAGCAGTTTTAAGAGTTGACTCAGAAATTACCCGGGCGAGCAGCACAGATGCAGTAGTCTTCCCCGAGCCGCCCTTCCCCAGCACCATCACCATCCGCGCCGCCTCTCCATTCCCCGCCTTGCCAACCCCGCGCGTCGCCGACGCCGCGCAAGCTACCCCGCGTCTCAGATTGGCACCCGCAGGATTCTGCGTCCTAGGAATAACGGCAGTAGCTATTCTCTTATCCTCATTGGCACTAGATAAATAGTGTTTCTTTCCTTCTGCGCTGGAATAAGGCACGGAAGGTTCTGATATCGAGGCGCGAGAAGTGCTGGCGTGGCGAGCTCCATGACGCGGAATTCGCGGGAGGTGGGGGTGCGAGTGGGGAGAGTTGAGGGTGAAAATGGCTTGCGAAAACGACCGGCTGGAGGAAGGTTTGAATCCAGGGAGAAAAGACGAGCGATAGCAGGGAGCCGCGCCAGGAGCTCCGCACATTGCGGTGGAGAATGCGACGGCCATGGCTGGTCTGCTGCGGAATTCGCCTCGGACCAGTTTTGCCTGCCTGTTGTTGTACAAGATATGCTTATACGCGGTAAAATTGAATTCACTGAAATGTGCTGCACCGCATGAACCAGGTAAAAAACAGCTACGACATAATTTCTAACATTTTAGCCTGAATATTCAGATAGACAGATCGTATTTGTACTCTCCAGCTTGTTTTCTCACCTATACGGAATCCTATCTGGAATCCATGTTATTTCATATCTCCTTCACCCTCTGCTGTACCTCCAATCGAGTATCATTATCGCGTTTTCCCTGACCCGGATTCTTCGAACCCAACACAACCACTCTCAGCGAAGATCTGCGTTATCCCTGGTCCAGGCTCATCACGATCGCGTTCCGCTAGCGCGTTCAGCTAACGGAAGCTCGACTTTCTACTGCACCAGCCTCCCCCTCCCGCCTCCCCCTTCCCCCTTCCCCTCCTCCTCGTTTCCTCCTTTTCCCCCGTTTTCCCCCCCGTTCCCCCCTTTCCGCAATCCACCCCTCTGTCCCGCCAGATTCAGGCCACCCAAGCCATGCTTGAACTAGCTCCACTGGTGAACACCACATCATTTTGAACCATTGTCTTCCAATCCTGTCCGTCCACCACCAAACGATCTAATCCTCGCCGTTCCTGACAGCATACTCGCCGTCATCACCCCATCAGTGGTGCCTGACCAACCAGACCTACCTGCCTGACGATTAGAAGTCAGCAGAGCTATGCATTGCATAACGATTCCTTTTATGGCTTTCAATTTCAACGATGAAAAGGTCGTCAGTTCCATCAACCCTCCTGCTGACTGATGACAGGGAGCGAGCTCTGATGTTGAGTTGTGTAAGCTGACTCGTTCATAGCTGGAATTCCCTCTTCGTCTCGGAATGGCTGAGCTCGAGGAGGCAGGAACTGGCATTGCTCTGACTCTCTATCCAATAACTTCCCTTCAAATAGGGTAAGCACTCTGCGATTCACGTTATTACCGAGCATCGGAAATAGATTGCGATCAGATAACGGTTTAATGTGTGCTACTTAATATCACAAACAACTGGTCCGGGATTCTATCCACAGCTGATCGTACACACGTTGCTTAGCGGTTAATGTTAAAAAATGTATTCATTCAATACCCGTCGAAAATGCCCTTCTTGATCTCACGGTTGATAAGGGGAAACGCTGACGTCTGATGTTAGCTACTGCTGCTGGAATCCATGGTGCTGGCTGGCGGAAGACGTTCGAAGGGTGCATTCATTGAGTAGCCGTTAATCTCACGGCCGATTAAACAAGAAACTGACGTCTAATCAAGCCTCTTCTCGCATAATATCTACCACTGTTTCTGGATTCCATGGTGTTGGCAGGCGGAAGACGTCGAAAGGGTCCATTCTGTCCGTGCATATCGCCAAGGAGGCCGGTCAGCTGGTCTTCTTCGTGAACAGCCCGTGGTGTCCCAAGCGCAGCAGCGGGAAAGATGCCGGACTATGGCAGCTGCTCTCCAAGGTCAGGCTGAATAACACAGGAACAACAGAAAACGCTTGATAGGAATGCTGACTTTGGACAGAACGCGAAAACAGGAAACTGCAATATAAAATCTCGCTGGATTGTTTACTACCAGATTCAGGATGGTCTCTCTGTCGCCTCATGTCCTATTCGAGAGATATAATCATTGATATTATGTGTTGATTGTTTACTTCGCAAATAGTTCCGTTAATTCTCTTTTCCGGTGATTCGAAATTCTGTTCCCTCCCTCTATGGGTTCCAGGCGCCGCGGTACGACTCGCCGTTCGCTAACAACAGCCTTATGGACCGCCTGCTGGGCGAGATCATGGCGCTGGAGGACTCCTTCTGCAGGTCAGTGGGGAGACACGAGCCGAATATAGAACGATGTAGGCTGTGAATTGAAGGGGTTTCTAGCGGATCAAATTCTTGGTAAGATCATGGCGGTGGCGGACTCCTTCTGCAGGTCAGTGGGACCATGCTCCCGTATAGGTCATAATAGATAAATGACGCTTTATACTCTTCGCCCTCAAGTATATTTGCAGCGATCGCTGCGCAGAGAGGTACAAGTCCTGGAGTATCCTCGTCATCACCTTGCTCCACCAGAGACAATGATGAGTTAAAAACATGCATGTAATCATGCACAAGAAGTAAACGATCATGCGTTACCTGAAGGAGATAAGTTTTGCCGCTGCCTGAAGCGCACCACAGACAAGAACGTTGAGGCGGTAGCCCTCACGGAGGGACTCGAGGCGTTCTTTGAAGAACCAAAACATGCGCTGGTTCAATGACTTCGATGGCCGGTCGCACTCTCAGCTAAACGAATTGGAAACTGTTGGGGTAAGTAATATGTCTGACAAGTTCCAGGCATGGTTCTACTTTGAGAGAAAAATGTTCTAGTTGTGGCGTGCACCGACAGGACGGGAGGGTCGTTAGAGCTGGCGCATGCGGTTTTCAATCCAGACATGTTTTCGTACTGTACGCGTTCTTATGCAAACGTTGCACCGCATGCGTTCTTAGACCAGATCGCGGTGCGACATCTGCAGGTGACAATAGGCTTGAGCAAGGTGGCGAACACCTGTTCGGTTCGCCTCGAACGTGTTCGAGGCGAACCGAACAGTTTTTGTTTTTCAGCTTAAATCGTTCGCCCGAACGTGTTCGATGTTCGCCCGAACACGTTCGTGTTCGTGGCGCTGCTGCAGAACGCCCCGTGTCGAACACGAACGTGTTCGAGGTTCGCCCGAACACGCCTCCACAGGCGAACAGCGAACACCTGTTTTTGTCTAAACTGTTCGCCGAACCGAACAGTGTTCGGTTCGGCAAAAGGGCGTGTTCGAGAAGGGGCGAACACGAACATGTTCGTGTTCGCCCTTTGCTCATCCCTAGGTGACAAGAACGCGTACGAGTACGGAAACATGTCTTGCGTGAAAATCGCATACGCCGGCTCTAACGACCCTCCCGCCCTGTCGGTGCACGGCCGCAACTAGAACATCTTTCTCTCATAATAGAATCATGCGTGGAACTTGTTAGACATAGTACTTACCCCAGCAGTTCCAACTCGTTCAGCTGAGAGTGTGACCGGTCCACCCATCGAAGTCACTGAACCAGCGCATGTTTTGGTTGTTCGAAGAATGCATCGAGTCCCTCCGTGAGGGCTACAGCCTCAACGTTCTTGTCTTCAGGAAGCGGCAGGACTTTCCTCTTGCAGGTAACACATGACGATACATTCTTGACAATTTATATTCTTGGCGAACTCATGGTGCTGGAGGTCTCCTTTTGCAGATCAGTCAAACGATACGAGCCGAATGTAGAAGAATCTAGACTGTGAATTGAAAAGGCTTGTAACGAATCAAAATTCTGGGCGAGGCTGGAAGTCAAGGGAGGGTTGCGCAGAAGAAGCTGCTGCACTCCTTTGACCACCGCAAATGCCACCTCCCATTCATCCGTTCCGCAAGCTGCTTCTGTTCCTTATCCGTGTCATTTCATTGCAGAACTCCGAGATTAGGAAGTGGCAGCAGTGGTGGCGGAGGAGGCAGCATCGGGGGCATAGGCAGCAGCAGTGGGCGGCACAGGAGGGTGAAGTGGAGGTCGCTGGACGCCTTTGTGCGTCGCCTGCACGCCAGGCGCAGGGCGCTCTCGCACCTGCACCCGCCCCCTCACGGCCTCTGCGGCTGTGTCACCCTTGAAGTCAGCTGGAGCGACGTGCGTGGGCTCCGATACGAGAACGAATTGCAGGTGCGTTACTGCACCCGTCCGCCCCTTCACGGCCTCTGCGGCTGTGTCACCCTTGAAGTCAGCTGGAGCGACGTGCGTGGGCTCCGATACGAGAACGAATTGCAGGTGCGTTACTGCACCCGTCCGCCCCTTCACGGCCTCTGCGGCTGTGTCACCCTTGAAGTCAGCTGGAGCGACGTGCGTGGGCTCCGATACGAGAACGAATTGCAGGTGCGTTACTGCACCCGTCCGCCCCTTCACGGCCTCTGCGGCTGTGTCACCCTTGAAGTCAGCTGGAGCGACGTGCGTGGGCTCCGATACGAGAACGAATTGCAGGTGCGTTACTGCACCCGTCCGCCCCTTCACGGCCTCTGCGGCTGTGTCACCCTTGAAGTCAGCTGGAGCGACGTGCGTGGGCTCCGATACGAGAACGAATTGCAGGTGCGTTACTGCACCCGTCCGCCCCTTCACGGCCTCTGCGGCTGTATCACCCTTGAAGTCAGCTGGAGCGACGTGCGTGGGCTCCGATACGAGAACGAATTGCAGGTGCGTTACTGCACCCGTCCGCCCCTTCACGGCCTCTGCGGCTGTGTCACCCTTGAAGTCAGCTGGAGCGATGTGCGCAGGCTCAGATACGAGAATGAGCTGCAGGTGCGTTCCTGCACCCGTCCCTTCTCTGTTCCCCATTTGGAGCACTTCGTGCTGTTTATAACGAGCCTCCTCTCTTTTCCCTTTCCGGACCACTCTTCCCTGAATCCACCATTGCTCCCTGAGCCCACCATATCCCAGCTCGGGCACACTCTCAACCCTCCCTACTTCCGCCGACCCAGGACGAGACCATCCAGTCGCCTAGCATCCCAGCCTTGTCCATTCCATGTCCCCCAACCCCTTTCCCCCTCCCCACCCGCAACCCTTCCCACCCCTTCCATGCGGCAGGCGGAAGCCAATCTAGCCATGGAGGTGACGCGTGTGGTGAAGCGCGAGTTTGACTCGTTTGACCAGGCCGTGCACGCACATGCTCTGCGCCTCTACCCCGCCACGCCCTCACATGGAACCACGCCCCTCCACGGTGCCAACCAATCCCACGCCTCCGTGCCTGCTGCCAGTCCGCGTGTCCCTGCTGGTCCGTGGATGGGGGGGAGCGCGATCAGTGGGAATCGTGTAGGGCCAAAGTCTCCTCTTGGGGCTGCTGCTGCTGCTGGTGCTGCTACTTCTGGTGCTGCTGGGGTTGGTGGTGGTGGTGCTGCTGCTGCTGCTGCTGGGGGTGGTGGAGCATTGTACAGCAGTGCTGCAAGCAGTTTCGCTGCTATCAGTTTTGCTGGAAGCAGCAGACTAGCTGCTGCTGTTGCTGCTGCAGATGCTGGTGATGCTGCTCGTGCAGCTGCTTCCATTGTCGATGCTGCGTGTAATAGTGGCTTGTGGAGCAGGCAAGCCCAGATGTGCATCGGCTGTCCTTTTCGCAGTCCTAGAGAAGCTTTTGGGAGCTCTCAAAAGCTAGGTAGAAAGGCGCTCTTTCACGATCAGCAGACCCCGCCGTGCACTCCAGTACCTTTCGGATTGCACCCTGCCGCGGCTGATACTGCTGATGCTGGAACGAGAGAGGAGCTTGTGGCGTTTCAAAGCACACGAAGCAGGATCTCAGACTCGCAGGTGTGTTAAGCAAGCTGGGCCTCTGTTTTTTCTTTTCCTGAAAAGTAAAAGACCCTCCATGCCCCTGCACTCACTCCCTTGATTCCTTCTCTCCCCGTCACTCTCCTTCCTCGTCCCCTAGAACCCCCCCTTACCTCCTCACTCTCCCTCCCTGTTTCTGATACCCTTCCGTCTTCTTCATTTTTGCCTTTCCTTCCCGTACGCCCCCTGAAATGCGGGTTTTGTTCTTTAAGGGAGCTATCGACTTTCGTGTTATGCGCCTCAAAGCAACTTTCCTTTCCTTTCCTTTCCCCTGCATGCTCCCAGCTGTGCAACCCTCCACACCAGCACCAACGCCACCAGGAGCAGGGGCAGCAGCAGCAGCAGCAACGCCAGCAGCAGGCAGGCACAAGCCAGTCCAGTTCGGACCTGCACACGTGGATGAGCGATTCCAGTGAGAGGTTTTCGGAGGGGTGCAGTGAGGTAGGCTTGCTAGATGCCGAGCTTGCCACCCAAACTCTACTGGAGGGTGAGTGCTGCGATGGCAGCAGTGGCAGGGCGGGGACGAATGGCGGTGCAGCAGAGGAGAGAATGTTGAAGGGAAACGAACCTGGTTGGCTGTTAGAAAACGAGTCTCGGTTGTATAGGGGGGGTGATGGTGCAGCAGAGGAGGGGGGGTCTTTCTTGAGTGGGGAGCCTAGCTATAAATCGTGCTGGGAGAATGAGCCTCAGCTGTACAGTGAGAGTCGATCCACTGTGCATGATGACGTGGAAGCAGAGTCATCACTTAGTTTACATTATGACGTGGAGGCAGTTGGGATGGAACTTAGTGCGTGTGATTATATCGATGCAGAGCCACATCATAACCCAGACAGTTGGGGGGAGGTGGAGGCAGAGTCACCGCCCAGTGTACATGGTGACGTGGATGCAGTTGGGGTGGTATCTAGGGGTATGCATGGGGAGATGGAAGCAGATGGGATGGTATCCAATGTACATGTTGACATGGAAGCAGATGGTATAGAATCAAGTGTGTATGAAGAGATGGAAGCAGAGGTCTGGGATAGTCCAGAGGGCTGGGAGGAGGTCGAGGCGGAATCAGCAGAGACTGTATGTGATGAACGGGATGCAGATGGGGAAGTGTCGAGCGTGTTTCACGAAATGGAAGCCGAGTCAGCAGAAGCAGAATCAGCAGAAGCAGAGTCAGCAGAAGCAGAATCAGCAGAAGCAGAGTCAGCAGAAGCAGAGTCTGCAGTGACTGTACATGGTGGTGTGGAGCGAGAGCTGTTCCCCAGTATTCTCATACCTCGCCGCCTCTTTGTGAGCACCAGCTGCTGCCGGAGCGAGGATGGGGAAGTGTGTGGTGAGGATGATGGTGCTGATGTTGGTGACAGGGGCAACGGTGATGTTGATAGTGACGAGTGTGGAGATGCGTACAGCTATGATGGGCACGAGGAGGAGGAGGAGAATGAGGAGGACGAGGAGGAGGAAGACGGGAGGAGGGGCGAATCTTTTGATGACAGCTGCGGCAGTTGCAGTAGTGGGGGTGGTGGCAGTCGTGGCAGTAGTGGTGTTGATGGTAGTGGTGCTGGTAGCTATGATGATGAGAGCAACAGCAGAAGCTACTGCTCTGATGATGATGCTGATGGTGACACTGAGGGCGACAGCCGCGGCTATTGCTCTGACGATGGTGACGGTGACACTGAGGGCGACAGCAGAAGCTACTGCTCCACCTCCTCCTCTGCCAAACAACACCAACACCATCGCCACCACCAACACCAACATGAACGACAACAATTCACCTCTCCTTCCCGCACCCTCCCCACCCATTGTCACCCCTCCACCCTCCTCACCTCCCCCGGACCCCACCTCCCATCCCCCCACCAACGCACCCCTCCCACTCACCTCATCTACCCCTCCACCCTCCTATCCTCTCCCAAACCCCTCCTCCCGGCCCCTCGCGCCCCTCCCACCACCATCATCTACCCAGACACCCTCCTCCTCTTCCGCTTCACCCACCCACACCTCCCTGCCGCCCTCGCTGACGTCATCACCACCGACCAACGCCTGCTCCACCAATTAGAATCCGGCCTGCCCTCGTGGGCCGTTTTCCTCCAATCCTGCGCCGGCCTCTCTGCCCTCTACCGCCCCTGGATGCGCCCCCTCGTCGCGTACGCGTGCTTTATAGTCTCCCTCGTTACAGTCCTCATTGGCTTCTACGATCTGTATAAGAACATCCCGGTGCTACAGGAAATGCTGGCGCGGATGCTGGGGCCAATATGGGCGGTAGTAGGCACGTGGGACATGGGAACAAGGCTGAGATACCTTGGCACAATTCTCTTTCTGCAGAACTGGGAGCGGGCCTTCAAGTGGCTGTCCTCCTCTTGGAAAGTCATCTCCCACGCGGTTTCCCTCCTCTCTTACCTTCTCTCTCTCCTCCTCAGGCCCTTCCAGCACCCCTGCTCGCTCCTCTTGCACACCGTCCTCCTCTGCCTCACCAAACTCCTCTCCACCGCATGGAACCTCTTGTCCGCCCTCGGAAAGCTGGTTACCAGTAGCGGAGGGTTACTCGGTTACGTCATGCGCCCGCTGTGGCTGCTGGGGCAGCACACACTCGTCCCGGTGTGGCAGTTACTGAATGCATGCTACCTGGCTGTATACAGCACTGGAGTAGCCATCTCTAATGGCTGTCTGCTGCTCTATCAGCTCCTCTCACAAGCCTACAGCTGCTCCGTGCTGAAACTCGCACATCTGCTGTCTTCACTAGTGTCTTCTCGCGTATCTTTCCTGTACAGCAACTGCCTGCTGCTGTATCGGTTCCTCTCACAAGCATGCAGCAACAGCGTGTGGAAAGTGGCTCAGCTTCTTTCGGCTCAGCTGTCGTTCTTCTATTCACGAGCTATGTTGCTGGGCCGGCTGCTTGGCATGCTTCTTCACCCACTGCTGCTCCTTGCTCGTACCCTCTGGGCCATAGGTGAGTCGCACCTGATAAGTGAGTGTAAGGCGTAGGTGAGTGGCACCAAGTCTGATAGATGAGTGCGGGCCACAGGTGAGTCACACCGTGTCTCATAATGGAGATCGTTTTGAAGCACCTTGAAATTAGGTTGGTTGGAGTGCTTGTTCAACCGTTTATGCCCGTGCCCATACCCTTTGGGCTGTGGGTGAGTCGCACCGTGTCTCAGAGGAGTGTGGGGCACAGGTGAGTGTGGAGTGGCTGAGTTGAGTTGCGGCGTGTTTCGTTGTTTTATTTCATGCACCCTGTTTCATGCACCATATTTCAGCATCATGTTCAATGCACAATGTTTCATTCGCCCTGTTTCGTGCACTGTTCACCGTGTTTCATTCACCGTGTTTCATTCACAGGGTTTCGTTCACCATGTTTCACCTATCTCCTTCCTACCATGTATCAAGAGTAGCCATCAACGCTTCCGCTACTCATTCTCACATCCTCATCTTTCCCTCCATCTCTTCCCCTTCGTTATTTATTTGCCCACCGTTCTCCAGGTCGAGCCATCATCCTGCCTCTATTCCAGTTCATCCACCTCCTCCTCACGCCTCTCCTCTCCGCCCTCCTCTCTCTCCTCAAGCTCCCCCTACAGCTGTTCCGCCTGCTGCTGCAGCTCGCCACCTTCCTCTACTCCACCTTTTCACACTCACTCTCCCACTCCCTCACGCTCTCCCTCGCCTCCTCCCTCAAAGCCCTCTCCCTTCACTTCACACACCTCTCCAATACGCTCTTGCTTCACCTTGTATACCTTTCTAAAACCCTTGTGCAACCTATCACATACTCCATAAAAGCTTTCTCTTTCACCTTCGCATACGGCTATAAATCTGTGGCAAATAGCTTCTCCTATATCTCCAAGACCGTCTCCTCTTCGCTGCGATTGGTCGTTGGGGCTCGAAAGCTAGGCTCGGCAACCAAGGCAGTGGGACAGCAGATCTCCGCTGCAGGTTCGGCAATGGGGCAAGTTTCCTCGGCTGCAGGTTCGGCGGTGGTTCGGTCGTCTTCCTCATCCCTGCTGCAAATGTGGCATAACCTCTTCCAGAAGGTGGGGTTCCCAGAGACGTTGAGACTAGCCCACTCGTTTAGATTGGGTGTAAGGCATGAAACATTCAGTTGGCAGTCACTGTTTAGGGTCCAATGTAAGGGTTCGTAGGCTAAAAGCATGGGGGCTTTAAAGTTGTTCTCTTAGCTTGTTTGGCAGTAAATGGGCATGTGCTGCAATCAGCATAAAGCCGGCGATACAGCTGTGTGGCTTCAAACTCGCCCTCGTCCTCGTTCTCTCTATCTCTGCCTCTATCTCCCTCTCCCTCCCTCTCCCTCCCTATCCTTTCTCCACAGTTGTTCCGAGCCATCATGTGGATCTTCAAGGGCGTGGGCTCCTTCGGTGACTCTCGTGGCATCGGGTTTCTTTATCTCTGCCCCTTACTTTATCCTGTCTCCCACCCGCTTCCCCCCTCCTCTTTTCTCCACTGTTGTTCCGAGCCATCATGTGGATCTTCAAGGGCGTGGGCTCCTTCGGTGACTCTCGTGGCATTGGGTTTCTGTATCTCTGCCTCTTTCTTTCTCCTGTCTCCGACTCCCTCCCTCTCCTTTCTCCACAGCTGTTCCGAGCCATCATGTGGATCTTCAAGGGCGTGGGCTCCTTTGTAGCTGCTGCCAACAGACACCGCCTCAGGTGATGCCCCCTCGATCGCTCTCACTCTCACTCTCACGTTCACTCTCCTTTGTAGCTGCTGCCAACAGACACCGCCTCAGGTGATGACCCCTCAATCGCTCTCACTCTCACTCTCACGTTCACTCTCCTTTGTAGCTGCTGCCAACAGACACCGCCTCAGGTGATGCCCCCTCGATTGCTCTCACTCTCACTCTCACGTTCACTCTCCTTTGTAGCTGCTGCCAACAGACACCGCCTCGGGTGATGCCCCCTCAATCGCTCTCACTCTCACTCTCACGTTCACTCTCCTTTGTAGCTGCTGCCAACAGACACCGCCTCGGGTGATGCCCCCTCAATCGCTCTCACTCTCACTCTCACGTTCACTCTCCTTTGTAGCTGCTGCCAACAGACACCGCCTCAGGTGATGCCCCCTCGATCGCTCTCACTCTCACTCTCACGTTCACTCTCCTTTGTAGCTGCTGCCAACAGACACCGCCTCAGGTGATGCCCCCTCGATCGCTCTCACTCTCACTCTCACGTTCACTCTCCTTTGTAGCTGCTGCCAACAGACACTGCCTCAGGTGATGCCCCCTCAATCGCTCTCACTCTCACTCTCACGTTCACTCTCCTTTGTAGCTGCTGCCAACAGACACCGCCTGAGGTGATGCCCCCTCGATCGCTCTCACTCTCACTCTCACGTTCACTCTCCTTTGTAGCTGCTGCCAACAGACACCGCCTCAGGTAATGCCCTTGATGCCCTTGATGCCCTTGATGCCCCTCACTCTCCTTGAGTCGATTCTGCAGTGAGTTGATTCTCCTTCTCTCTTACTCTCAATCTTGCTCGTGCGTCCGTTCTTGGCTCTCCTCTCCTCCAACGCTGCTGCAAATGGACACCGGTTCAGGTGATGCTCTTGATTCCATACAAGGCGTTGTTTCTGTGTCAATTTGTGCGTCTCAAATTACATTATTATCCATCGGTTAAGTTCCTGATGTGGTAAAGTAGAATGACCTTTGTGGCAGAACTATGTGCGCCGAGCCTGTTTTTGAGTCGACTCAAGAACAGTTTCTGATGTGATTCAGTAAAACGACTTTGTGGCAGAACCATGTGCGCCGCGCCGACCATGTGATTTCTGAGCATCTCACTGTCTTTCTTGCCCCCCTTTCCCTCCGCACCTTCCCTCCCCTCCCCCTTCCTCCCCTCCCCTTCCTCCCCTCCCCCTTCCTCCCCTCCCCCTTCCTCACCTCCCCCTTCCTCCCCTCCCCCTTCCTCACCTCCACCTTCCTCCCCTCCCCCTTTCTCCCCTCCTCCTTGTCAGAATAGTAAAGGAAGGAAATGAAACAGAGAAGAGGAGATTCACTAGTAGGCAGTTGAGTACATATAGCAAACCCTAAATTGGGCTATACTCACCAAGGTTCAAAAATACGACCGAATTTTTGAAAATTTACCGTAAAATACGGTATCGTATTTTACGGTCGTATTAAACGGTAAAATACGGCCAGACCTTGCATTTTTAGGTTCGTTCAAAAATACGGTCGTTTTTAACGGCCGAATTTTTTTAACGAGTTTTTGGAGTTTCCGTGGGGCTCAAGAACATCCCCACAGAAGCTCAGACAGGTTCCGTGGCCATCTGTAATAGTCTAGGGTTGGGCTGAGGCCAATGTCGAGATCTGTGAAAGTGTACGGGGGGTTGGGTCTTGTAGATCCAGTGCGGTGACAAGTGATAAGTGGCGACGAATTGGTTGGGACATTGAGTTCCAACAATTTTGACGGGGAGGAAGGGGTGCCTGACTTTGGGTTCTCAGTTCGTGGCGAATTCAATTTGACCAGCGAAATCGCCGATCTGTGCAGAGCTATGGGCGAAATCGCTGATCTGCGCAGATCGGCGGGCGAAATCGCCGGTATGCGCAGATCGGCGGGCGAAATCGCCGCACAAGCGGGGCCGCTTATAATAGTCTGAGTTTGGGGGGGGAGCGGCCTTTTAGGCCTGATCATTAGCAATTTCTTTGATGTTCACATCCCTAGAAGTGGATGGTAGCAAGTCTGAAGTTAGATTATTATTTTTTTTGCGGAGAAAAAAACTCTATCAAAAAAACGGCCGAGTTTTTTAAAATTGACCGTAAAATACGACCGTAAAAAACGGCCCGTATAATACGACAACCGTATTTTTAATCCTTGGTACTCACTATTGAGTACCCCACTGCAGGCTAAACAAATATAACATTCTGACACACCCCCATAGCCAAAGTGGGGTGTAATCAGCACAATAAGCAAGCACAGCACTAGTTCACAAATATAAGCAAAGCTAGAGGCAGTCACAGACGGTAAATGAGGAGGAGGAAGGACTGTGAGAGGAATGGAGATAGGAGACGACGGGTGAAGCTGCAGATACACGGGCAACAGGAACGACGCGCACTGTGGCTACCGGAGATTATAGCCTCCGGACTACTGGAGTAACTGGCTCCGCGGCTAACTCTGAGCGGCAGGAGCAACGGACCCACGGGCGACTGGCGCAGCAGGCTCGCTGGGCTACCGGAGATTGTAGCCTCCGGACTACTGGCGCTGCTGGCGACACGACGGCTGCCTCCGCCCAACCTCCCCCTAACTGTCCCAAAACTCCCGTTCACACCCCCTGCTGCACCCCTAGCTTCACTCCCACGACACCCCCGGGGGGCCTCGGGGCGCCGCGACGGGTGACAAAACCGCCGCACGCATCGGGGCGCGCGACGGGCAGGGCACCGTCGCGCTCCACGGGGCGCACGACGGGCAGGGCAGGGCGTCGCGCGGCCACCAGGGCGGCGCGACGAGCAGAAAACCGCCGCGCGCCCCGAGCGCGCGGCGGGAAGAAAACATGCCGCGCGCCATGAGCGCGCGGCAGGCAGACAAACGTCGCGCGCCCGAGGCGCGCGATAGGCAGGACAGCAGCGGAAGCTAACGGTGGGCCCATCCACAGGATCGACCCGGGAGGGTCGACCTGCTCTAATAGCATGTCAGAATTGTGAAGGAAGGAAATGAAACAGAGAAGAGGAGATTCACTAGCAGGCAGTTGAGTACATATAGCAAACCCTAAATTGGGCTGTACTCACTATTGAGTACCCCACTGCAGGCTAGACAAATATAACATTCTGACACTCCTTCCTCCCCTCCCCCTTCCTCCCTTCCTCCTTCCTCCCCTCCCCCTCCCCCCACTCACACGGTTCACTCCTCGCCAGCACGCGGCACTCCGTGCTGTCCCAGGTGCGCAAGCTGCAAGCTCGATTCCTTTCAACCATTCCGCATTCCCAGGCAATAGTGCTGAAGCTTCTCATATATCCCCCCCCTTGCTCCCCTCCCCCTCCCCCCCTCCCTGTTCACTCCTCGCCAGCACGCGGCACTCCGTGCTGTTCCAGGCGCGCAAGCTGCAAGCCCGGGCTCTTAAAGCCGCTCAGAGCAGCCAGGCAGCAATGCTCTCAGGTTTCTCATATATACCACCCAACCCTCCCCTTCCCCCTCCTCCCCCCTCCCTGTCCCCTTCCCACCAGCACGCGGCACTACGTGCTGTCCCAGGCGCGCAATCTTCAAGCTCGACTCCTCCAGGCAATCCGACACGCTCTGGCAACAGTTATGAAGTTTCTCATACATAATTCCGCCCCCCCTCCTCCCCCCACCCCTTGTGTTCACTCCCCACCAGCACGCGGCACTATGTGCTGTCCCAGGCGCGCAAGCTGCAAGCCCGGGCTCTTCAAGCTGCTCAGCACGCCCAGTCAACATTGATCAAGTACGGCCGCAAGCTGCTTGCTCCCCGACCCATTCCCACCGCACCTCGAGAAGTTGCGGCTTCACCTCGAGAGATTCTTGATGTTGCCGCACCAGCAGCGAGCGCACCAGCATTGACTGCAGGGGGAGGGGTCGTTGCCACTCATGACGGGGCTGAGGAGGAGTACTGGGATGCGCTAGAGGGCATCTCTGAGAAAGAACCTGAGGAGGGTTGTGAGGAGCAATCGGATTCGGAATGGGACAAGTTTGAGGAGGAAGATGATGCAGAATGGGACAGGAATGAGGAGGAAGATGATGTGGAGGATGAGCAGAGCGAGGAGGATAAGGAGGATGAGGGGGGTAAGGAGGGTTATGGAGATCTCCAGGAGGAGGGGGAGGAGGAGGAGGAAGAGGAGGTGTTTGGGGATGCTCAGAGCGATGCATTCGAATATCCCCCCTATGGAGAGGCCTGGGATGATTAGGTATGTTTTTCTATTTGTGGATTGCCATGATGGACTTCTTTCTTGCGCTTCATTGCATTAAAATTTTCCTCTCATGAAGAGGCCTCGGACTATGAGGTATGGGTTTCTGTCTGCAGGTTGCAGATGTGGGCTTCTATTTGAGATAACGCAGTGCATTTATTCTGCTCATGGAGAGGCAAGGCCTCGGACGATAAAGTATGGGATTCTGTCTGCGGGTTGCAGATGTGGGCTTCTTTCTTGGATGCGTTATTTTGAAGAGGTTCTGTGCTTGTAACTATTCTGCTCTGGTGCAATCGTTTATTTCCTCTCCCCCTTCCCCTTTTTCCTCCTCAACATCCCCTTTATCCCATTCGACCTCTCTATCGATCTCCCCTGTCCCTCACCCCTCCTTTTTTACTGGTGCCATTCTTCCTTTCCTCCCCACCATGGTCTGTCACTGCATTCTTTTGTTTTATCACTCTCTCCTCTCAGCTCAATCACAGACCGACCAGACAAACGCCATCTTCCCCCATCCCTCTCCCCTTTCCCCCATTCTGCTCGGGTGCAATCGTTTATTCCCTCTCCCCCCTTTCCCCATCCATCTGGTCTTCGCATTCCTTGCTTTCACTGCCCTCCCCCCCCACTCCCTCACCTCGATCCCTTTTCACCCCATCATTTGCGTTTTTGTGTCGTTTTTTCATTTGGCATGTTTAGGTCCTCTGAGAGGACATCGCGCACAGTCAGATCTCAACAGCTACACTTTGAAAGGGGTTCCGCTGATGTATAAATTCTACAATCATCGGTAGGAAGATTCTTTACATTCATTTCTTACAATTCAGCGAACATCAGTCACACTCCTAACGTATGCATGTTAAAATTTGTAGATAGCCGTTCATGAATTTATTTTTCATTCTTCCCCCTTGGTCTTTCAGGTTTGAAGTCATAGGCTGAGGCCTCAATGACATCAGAAGCAATTCCACATTTTATTACTTCATGAAGGAGAATTCTGGATCTAGAAATTGGGAAATATTCCACATTGACTAATCAAGCTTGAGCATTTTCCATTCCTCATTGCATCATGTTGGGCTGAAAAAGCACTTAGGATGTTTGCAGGACTAAATTCGGGGTAGGACAATGTAATAGCGGAAGCGTTAAGTAAAAGGCTTGTGAACCACCTTGCGCTAGTATGTGAGGGCAAAGTAGATTGATTAAAACAAAGAGATACAAGCTTTTATAAGGATACAAGGAATATGAAGAGATACGGTTAGTAACCGTTTTACTGTTGCTGTTGCGGTTCGATACAGTGTGGACTCGGGCAACTGCTCAATAGCGAGTCAGTTGTTTGTCCTTGCTGTCGCGCTGTATTTGTCAGGTCAAAGGTCGCTGACCTTTGACTTTCGCGTAACCTCCAGCAGTTGTTCAACCTCCGAGGGTTGACTCGCTGATGCTTCGATATGTTTCGCTTCGCTTATGACTTGGTGTTTCGACACGACAGAGGCGCTTAAATCAATTGTTTCCAACACATCAAACTTTGTTGATCCTTGAAATATGTAAGGAAATTTCCTTTTTCCTTAGCGTCCCTGCTTACCGCGTACATCACCGTTCCCGCCATCGGCACCCAGCAGTGAAACGTTACCCGCTCGCGACACTCGCCTCGACCACGACTCCCGCCATTATTCACGATGCGACCCAACCTCACGGTCCGGACCTCCGCCTCGACACTTCCCAACCTCGGCGCTAAACCCGTAGCGCACCCCATTTTCTCGCGTTACCGTGACCACGCTAGCTTCGCTATATATTCTTCGCTCATGCCTTCTCTCATTGTATTGTTTGCTTCGATAGTGCAATTCTCGCTCGCTCAATTGCACTTGTAACACTTGGTATCAGAGCCTACGATCTCTTCTTGGACAGCACCCACACCCTCGCTTCCCCACTATCTCATTTTGGAGGGGGTAGACGTCTCTCAGCGTTCAGGCACCGCCGTTCGAATTGCTTTCTCAAAAGCACGCACGGCCACGACTGAGGCTCTCGCTGAGCTTGCCCGACACGCCCGCCATGGCCGACCTCAATCTCGCGACGTTGACGCAGGAGCAACTCGACCGGCTCTAGGGCATGTGCTAGGATTTTGGGCATCCTGAGCCCTCAGGGCAACTTTTGAAAAATCTCAAGAATGCCCTGATTTTTCAAGGCAAAATTGCATGGCCATCCTGAAATTTCAGGGCACCAACAGGAATTCATCCTGATCTCTCAGGGCAAAAAAAACACAAGACATGAGAGAGGTGGAGGGGAAGGCCCGATATGAGTGGGAAGACCGGTGCGTGCATAGTACGGTACGACGAAGAAGCGGGAAAATCCTCGGGAGGAGGCAAAACCAATACACACACCCCCCCGCCCCTTCCCCCCTATTCCCCATCCCCCCCACACCCCTTCCCCTTCTGCATATGTGTCAGGGCAGTCCTCGACCTTCGTCCTGATGCTTCAGGGCAAAATCTCACGGACTTCCTGAAATTTCAAGGCTCGACACGAAAATTATCCTGAAGTCACAAGGTAAAATATACCATCATCCTGAAATTGCAGGGAAAACTCCTGACGCTATCCTGAAATCAGGGTAATCATGATGTTTTACCCTGATATCGTGGGGCCTGACCGGCTCGTCCGCCAACTCGAGGATTCGGCGCTCGAAATCGCGACACTCACGGCGGAACGTGATTCCGCCCGCCAGCAATCAACGGTGAATGCACCAGCACCAACACAAGCACCTGCAAATGCACCTGTGCAATTGGAGGAGCCGATTATTATTTTGTCCGGCACACTGTCACAACATGACAGCGTGGGATAGCGCTCAGGCGCAGCCAGTGATGGCGCCGCCCAATCAACGCCTGGCATGGGGAGGAACAGGGCTGCACCAAGCACGAGCGGGCCTCGCGAAGCCCGTCGTCACGTTGAATTTGCGGCAACAATCGGCAACAACGACATCGTTGCGCCGATGCTGCTCAAACCGCAGCGCGGGCCCTGTTTCGACCCGAACCAACGTGGAGGTCCGATGGTTCAATCGTGGGTCTTCACGACGAACGTTTTCTTCGACGCGAATTACGTCGAGTTGGACGCAGCGAAGATTCGATACGTTGTTTCGCTGCTAAGGAGCCCCGCCATGGACTGGTGGCGAGTCATCGTGACGTCGCCACGTGCCTACGAGCCGCCGTCGTAAGAGGAAGAGCCCACGGGTCCAGCCGTCACCTGGAGTTCGTTTTGCGAAACCGCCCAGTACAGCACGTGGGATGCGTGGTGCGCAGGGCTTCGGGCGCGTTTCGAGTCGATCGCGGCTTCTATTTCGGCGCGTCAGAAACTGCGTACTTGGCGACAGCTTGGGTCGGTCCAAGACTACACAAGCAGTTTTCTCGCTCTGTACGAGCAAGTCGGCTACATGCACGAGGCAGAGCGGGTGGACCGTTACGTCGGTGGACTGAAGCCAGACATCTCGCACGAGATTATGCTACGCGGGTTATCAAACTTCAACAAAATCCTCGTGCTCGCGAAGAAAATCGACATCCTATGCCGACCAAGACCCGGGTCCTATTACGGACATTGTCCTCGGGGACCGACCGAGCACGCCACCGTACACGCCGTTGCAGCGAATGAAGCTGCTGCGCCATTCAAGGGGCGCTGTTTGCTTGCAAAAGGCCGGGCTATCACAAGAGCGAATGCCCAGAGGAGCAGAGACGCCGCGGAGCAGAGCAGGGGAGGGAGTCTTAGAGGCAGGGAAATGCTAGCACTCAGTAGAAAACGGGCCAACTACTGACGAGACAACCTGCTCGCCCAACCTCATTGACCCTCACCGAGTCACAGTGCCGATTCACGCCATCGATCGTGCTCGGATGAATAAGGAGGGTACAGCGACGGATTGCCCAATACTGATCTACGGGAAAATACAGGGGACAGCAGTGAAGGTTTTTATAGACGGAGGAGCAAGCCACAGTTTAGTTAATACTGCAACTGCATGGAAGCTGCAAATGACGCTTAGCCGATGTTTACCGGAGATTGATGCGCGTTTAGTTGACGACACGCCACTAGCAATACGGGAAAAAGTGGAGAGGGTGAAAGTTCGTTGCGGGGGGGACTTCGGGTTTACACAGGAAATGCTCGCAATGACACTGGATGGGCATGACATTTTACTGGGACGTGAGTGGCTGCGACGCTACAATCCGCGAATCGACTGGTCGACGGGTAGCTGCACTGTGCAAAGTAGTGGTAACTGGGTCGAACTACATCGCTGGCGGTCACCCGAGTCTTCGACGGACCACGTCAACGCCATCACAATGAAACGGACCGACGCCGCTGGAGCTGACGTGTACGCGGTGGATATCGCATTGGTGGGAGAAGCAGAACAGCCGAGCGATTTTCAGAAACTGCTGGCAGCCGTACCGCTCGAATTACAGGAGCTACTAAAACGGTACCCGGGGATTTGCTGGAGGGGTTGCCACCTCAGCGAGCTCACGACCACCGCATAGAATTAGAACCAGGGGCACAGGCAACTGTACAGCGACAGTTTAGACTGACACAGCCCGAGCTCGACGAACTGAGTAAGCAATTAGACTACCTGTTAGAGAAAAAAATAATTTGACCGAGCTCGTCACCGTTCGTTGTCAGAGGTCCACTGGTGATCCCCGATTGATCCTAGGAAAGGGTTACAGGCTCGTTGTCCTGGGGGGTTATGGGCGCACTGACCCGCTACTTAACAAGCCCTTTTATCCCAATGGTCTAGTGGTTGGGATTCTAACATGGTATCAGAGCGAAGGTCTCGGGTTCGAATCCCAGTGTGTGCACTTCGGGCATCCCAGTGCGAGGGGGGTGTCAGAGGTCCACTGGTGATCCGCGATTGATCCTAGGGAAGGGTTACAGGCTCGTTGTCCTGGGGGGTTATGGGCGCACTGACCCGCTACTTAACAAGCCATTTTATCTCAATGGTCTAGTGGTTGGGATTCTAACATTTGCCGCACTGATAACGTTCACACCGAGAAAAGACGGAGGGTTTCGCATGTGTATAGATTACCGAGCACTTAATAGGGTAACAGTCAAGTCGCGATACCACATTCCCCGCGCCGACGAACTGATAGATCAACTGCGAACAGCATGGGTTTTTTATTATTATTATTGACTTACGGGGAGGTTACCATCAGATTATGGTCGAACCATTGGACTGCGCCAAGACGGCATTTAGGACTATGTACGGGTCGTTCGAGTACACCGTGATGCCATTGGGCTGACCAACGCACCGGCGACAATTCAGATGACCATGAACGAGGCGTTTAGGCCACTCTTAGATAAATGCGTGATAGTTTACCTTGACGACATCCTAGTCTACAGTCGCGATAAGCAGCAGCACTTAGCAGATCTGGAAGTAGTGCTTAAAGTTTTAGATGAGCACATACTACTGACCAAGGGTTCCAAGTGCAAGTTCTTCAAGGATAGGTAAGAATTTTTTGGGCACGTTATTTCAGAGGCTGGGGTTGAGATCGACCCAAAGAATCTGGACACGGTAAAAGCGTGGCACCCCCCGACGAACATCACGGAGCTGCATGGTTTTTTCGGGTTCGTTAATTATGTGTGTCGGTTCGTCCCCGACATGGCACGGTTAACTGCCCCACTGACGGATTAACTGCGGAAGGGGGTCGCTTTTACATGGGGGGAGAAAGAGCATGCTGCCTTCTCTGCTGTGAAAAATGTTCTCTGTTCACCGCCGTACTGCGCATCGCCGACCCACACTGCCCATTCGAAGTGGTTACAGACGCAAGCGACGTCGCCATTGGAGCCGTACTGCTACAGGATTTCGGCAACGGCCTACAGCCCATCGCATACGAGTCGCGAAAACTGCATCCGCTCGAGAAAAGTTACCCGATACACGACCGCGAAGTGCTCGCGATCGTGCACGCGTTCAAAGTGTGGCGCTGTTACGTGATAGTACGGACAGAGCACAAATCACTACAGTACCTCCGCGCACAGCCCCACCTCAACCCACAACAGATTCGCTGGCTCGATTTCCTCGAGTTGAAATTCCATTACACGGTCACCTACAAAAAGGGGGCATCAAACATCGCCGACGCATTGACCCGCCCCACTGCCCAAATCCACGCCATTCTGCTCGCCCAGACCAGCCCACTGCTAACATGACTATTTACCCACGGCTATCAAACAGACCCGTTCTTCACCGGAGGAAACTCGCAGCAGTTCGCAGCAGCGAAAGGGTTGTATTACGTAAAAGCTGGCACTGAGAGAATTTGGGTACCACGCTACACCTTACTACGGGAATTACTGCTACAGGAGGCACATGACGGAGTCACCTCAGGCCATTTTGGAGTAGAAAAAACACGGCAGCAACTGAAGCGGTATTACTACTGGCCCGAAATGCTGACCGATGTGCAACGACACGTGGCATCGTGTCCCACCTGCCAGCTCATGAAATCGTCACGATAGCGACCAGCAGGACAGTTGCAGTTGATACCACCCCCAGAGCGTGCTTGGCAGTAGATGACAATGGACTTTGTCACGGGGTTATCGGCTGGAGCAAGTGGGAATGACGCGAACCTGGTCGTCGTCGATCGGTTGACGAAGATGGCACTTTTTGCAGCCTGCAAGAAATCAATCACAGCCGAAGAAACAGCTCGCCTCGTCATCGCCACCATCGGTCGATTACACGGGATACCAGCGGTGATCATCAGCGACTGCGACACAAAATTCACCAGCAACTTCTGGCGGAGCATGTGGCAGCACTTCGGCACGCGGCTACAGTTCAGTTCATCGTACCACCCCGAAACCGACGGACAGACAGAACGGACAAATCAGACCATGGAACATTTAATCCGAGCCACGTGCGACGACCCGACCACGTGGGAACAGCAGCTGCCACTCATCAAGTTCGCATACAACAAATCGCCATCCGCCACGACCCAACAGTCACCGTTCTACCTAAACCGGCAAGACCCGACAGTACCCATGACCCCGAATCCCAACAACCCAGTGCCACGAGCGCAACAATTCGCAAAAATATTACAGGCGGCATGGACCCGAGCAGCAAAAGCAATAAAAAAAACAAACGTCATCGCTAAGTGCAACGCCAACCGCCACCACTGCCCCGTCACTTACCAACCCGACGACCTGGTATTACTCGACACCCAAAACCTCCGCCTACCCATCACTCCAAAACTCCGCCCCCGATATTGCGGGCCATTTTGCATCAGCCACATGATCACCCCCGTCACCGCCCACCTCCTCCTCCCTGCTGATTGGTACGTCAGCCCGTCATTCCACGTAAGCCTGCTTCGCCCATACATCCCATCTGTTAGATTACTAGCGTGACTTAGGAACCATGGCTTGGGTTCTAGACATGAGTGTCGAGAGAGTTTAGTGTCGAGAGGAATTGGAAAAGAGAAAGAGTGGTTTCTCTAGCAAGAGTTGGGATACAAATACAACACCCTAAATTGGGTTGCACTCATTATAGAGTACCCCACTGCAGGCTAGACAGCAAATACATTCTGACACACCCCCATAGTCAAAGTGGGGTATAATCAGCAGAGCAAGCAGTCATAGAGCAGGTTCACAAGTACAAGCAAAGCTAGAGGCATACACAAAAGGCAAGTGAGGAGGAGGCTGGACTGTGAGAGGAGAGGAGATAGGAGGCGACGGCTGATGCTGCAGACACACGGGCAACAAGAGCGGCGTGCACTGTGGCTACCGGAGCCGTATCCCCGGACTACAGGAGTAACTGGCTCTGCGGCTAACTCTGAGCGGCAGGAGCAACGGACCCACAGACGACAGGCGCAGCAGGCTCTCTGAGCTACAAGAAGCAGAGCCCCGGACTACAGGTGCTGCGGACGACAAGACGGCAGTCTCCGCTCAACCTCCCCCAACTGTCCCTCCCCCCTTTCACACACCCCTTGCTGCACCCCTAGCTCCACTCCCACGTCACCCCCCTAGCACCACTCCCTAGGCTCCCACACACCCACCCCCCTCAGCGGCAGCTGCAGCAGTGGGAGACGAAGGTGGAGGAGGAGGGGACGGTTCACACACCCGCCACCCCCATACCCGCCACCCCGCAGTTGCACCCACACCCGCCACCCCCATACCCTCCCCCCACTGCTGCACCTGCAGCAGGGGATGGAGGAGAAGGGGGAGGGGGGGGGGGGGGGGGGGGCGGGGGGGGGCTGGTGCTGCAGATCCCCTCCTGCCTCCCCCTGAACCTCCAAGCTCCCCCCCCTCTCCCACCACAAGGTGCGGCAGGGAGAGAGAGAGGAGGAGGCGTGGCGGCAGCTGCTGCTGCTGAGGCACATCCGCCACCCCCTCACACCCTCTCCCCGCCATCCCCATGGAGGGGGGGGAGGGGGGCGGGGGCGGAGCTGCGCGTGCGACTGTAGGGCACGCGGGCAGGAGGAACCCCCTCTTGCCACCCCCTCACCCACCATGTTGAAACAGGGCACCGGGGCCACGGTTAGGGGCGGCAGGTCGCGAGGGGCCATGGCTAGGGGCGACGGGGCCATGGCCAGGGACGGGGCCGGGCGCTGGGCAGGTACGGGGCCGGGTGCTGGGCTAGGGACGGGGCCGGGTGCTGGGCAGGTACGGGGCCGGGCGTTGGGCAGGTACGGGGCCGGGCGCTGGGCAGGTACGGGGCCGGGCGCTGGGCAGGTAAGGGGCCGGGCACTGGGCAGGAACGGGGCCGGGCGCTGGGCAGGTACGGGGCCGGGTGCTGGGCAGGTACGGGGCCGGGCGCTGGGCAGGTACGGGGCCGGGCGCTGGGCAGGTACGGGGCCGGGCGCTGGGCAGGTATGGGGCCGGGCTCTGGGCAGGTACGGGGCCGGGCGCTGGGCAGGTACAGGGCCGGAGGCTGGGCAGGTACGGGGCCGGGCGCTGGGCAGGTACGGGGCCGGGCGCTGGCAGGTACAGGGCCGGGCGCTGGGCAGGTACGGGGCCGGGCGCTGGGCAGGTTCGGGGCCGGGCGCTGGGCAGGTACGGGGCCGGGCGCTGGGCAGGTACGGGGCCGGGCGCTGGCAGGTACAGGGCCGGGCGCTGGGCAGGTTCGGGGCCGGGCGCTGGGCAGGTACGGGGCCGGGCGCTGGGCAGGTACGGGGCCGGGCTCTGTGCAGGTACGGGGCCGGGCGCTGGGCAGGTACGGGGCCGGGCGCTGGGCAGGTACGGGGCCGGGCGCGGGTGTCGACGGGGTGCTGGCTAGGAACGGGGCCGGGCATGGATGTCGACAGGGCGCGGGCTAGGTAAGGGGCCGGGGCGCGGGCTAGGTACGGGCTGGTCGCGGGCGTCGACGGGGCGCGGGCTAGGTACGGGGCCGGGCGCGGGTGTCGACGGGGCGATCGCGGGCTAGGTACGGGCCGGGCACGGGCGTGAGAAAGGGCCGAGCGCGGTCTAGGTACGGGCCAGGCGCGAGGCTAGGTACGGGCCAGGCGCGGGCGAGGTACGGGCCGGGCGCGGGGCGACGGAGTCGACGGGGCCAAGGGGCCGAGGCGACGGGGCCAAGGGGCCGAGCCTAGGGGCTAGGGGCGACGCCAAGGGGCGACGGGCCGGGGCCTAGGCTAGCAGGGCAGTAGGTGGTGGGCCCATTAAGATTAGATCCTAGGAAAGTTATGCTCTAAATACCATGTTAGATTACTAGCGTGACTTAGGAACCATGGCTTGGGTTCTAGACATGAGTGTCGAGAGAGTTTAGTGTCGAGAGGAATTGGAAAGGAGAAAGAGTGGTTTCACTAGCAAGAGTTGGGATACAAATACAACACCCTAAATTGGGTTGTACTCATTACAGAGTACCCCACTGCAGGCTAGACAGCAAATACATTATGACACCATCCACCAGCCAACTGCCTCGCAACCGCCCCGCCAGCGTGACACGACCGCAGACAGAGACAATCATTGCGCCTGAAAAGATACTGAGCCACTGAGTACGTGACCCACGGGGAGCAATCATCAGCGACCGCGACACGAAATTCACCAGCAACTTCTGGCGGAACCTGTGGCAGCAGTTCGGCACACGACTACAGTTCAGTTCATCGTACCACCCCGAAACTGACTGACTAACAGATCGGACAAATCAGACCATGGAACAGTGCATCCGAGCCACATGTGACGACCTGACCACGTGGGAACATCAACTGCCACTCATCGAATTCGCATACAACAACTCGCCATCCGCCACGACCCAACAGTCACCTTTCTACCTGAACTACGGACAAGACCCCACAGTACCCATGACCCAGAATCACGACAACCCGGTGCCACGTGCGCAACAATTCGCAAAAATATTACAGGCAGCACGGACCCGAGCAGCAGAAGCAATAAAAAAATCAAACGTTATCGCTAAGCGCAACGCCGACCGCCACCGCCGTCCAGTCACTTACCAACCCGACAAACTGGTGTTACTCGACACCTAAAACCTCCGCCTACCCATCACTCCAAAACTCCGCCCCCGATATTGCGGGCCATTTCGCATCAGCCACATGATCACCCCTATCACCGCCCACCTCCTCCTCCCTGCTGACTGGTACGTCAGCCCGTCGTTCCACGTTAGCCTGCTTCGCCCATATGTCCCATCCACCAGCCAACTGCCTCGCAACCGCCCCGCCAGCATGACACGACCGCCGACAGAGCCAATCATCACGCCCGAAAAAATACTGAGCCACCGAGTACGTGACCCACGGGGAGCCCACAGGATCAAATTTCTGATCCGTTGGAAAGACCGCACGCCCACCAAAGACAACTGGGTCCCCCTAGATAGAATCAAGAACCACCCGGTCTTCACCGAGTACCTGCGCAACCGAAATTCTCGAGATGTACACGCACTCTCATAAGGAAGGCCTCCTTGGGGATGGGGGTAATGTACATGACCGTTCCCGCCATCGGCACCCAGTAGTGAAACGTTACCCGCTCGCGACACTCGCCTCGACCACGACTCCGGCCAGTGTTCACGATGCGACCCAACCTCACAGTTCGGTTGGTAACCCGCGCTCTGGACCTCCGCCTCGACACTTCCCAACCTCGGCGCTAGGCCCGTAGCGCACCCCATCTTCTCGCGTTACCGTTACCATGCTAGCTTCGCTATATATTCTTCGCTCATGCCTTCGCTCATTGTATTGTTTGTGTAAGGAGTTTTCTCGCTATTCCTTACCGTGACCGTCCACATCGCGTACAGCAGCAGTCGTTGTTCGCCCGCTACTGCTAACGGGGCTTCGCCAACTTCGCGTGCACTGTTTCACCAAACCTCGCACTGCTGGAGCAGCCGAGTCGGCCAATGCTTCGGGACTAGCCCGAACCTCGCGCCAGCGTAGCACTAGCTAGCTCGCACGCACCGAGTTACCGTTTGCACATTTTCGCGTATAAGTATTCGCTCATGCCTTCGTTCATATTTTGTACTCATTGAACACTCTAGTGCAATCCTCGCTACCTCGATTCATTGCACCCGTAACACTTGGTTATCATAGCCACTTTCTTGTCAAAATGTTATATAGTTTATTTTGTGTAGGCTATAGTGTATCGAAGTTTTGGTGAAACAGTGCACGCGAAGGGGTACAACTAACTTAGGGTTAGTTCTTGTACCCAACTTTTGTTCAATGCATTCATTCTTGTTCAGTATTCTCACATGGTTTCAGAGCATGTCCTTCCCTAGGACCGTTTTTTTTAGGGCCCACCACAGAGCTGCCCCACTCACTGCCCTGTCGCCCTGCCCTAACAGCGCGCCCAGCCCAGATGGCCCACGCACTGCCTCTTGCAGCCTGTCGCGCTGCCCTTAGCAGCACGCGAGCTGCCCCTTCAGCCTGCGCGCCGCCTCTGCTGCCCGCACGCCGCCCTTGCAGCCCCGCGCGCCGCCTCTGCAGCCCCGCGCGCCGCCTCTGCAGCCCGTGCGCCGCCCCTGCAGCCCTCGCGCCACCCCTGCAGCCCCGCACACCGCCTCTGCAGCCCCGCGCGCCGCCGTTGCAGCCCCGCGCCCCGCTAGGGGGGAGGGGCTATTGATGCTGGTTGCAGGGGCGGCGCGCGGGGCTGCAGGGGCTGTTGGTGCTGGTTCTGGAGACACTGGACGGCCGCGATCGTACTTCGTTCCCCTGCTTCAGCAGGGTCTTGGTCTCCCGTCTTCTACTGGCCTTACTCCTCCATTACTATGTCCACCGCCTGACCAGTCGCAGCCGCCGTTACAACCAGCCTCCCCACTGCCTGCTCCTTCTCCTTACACTGAGTAGACCGGAGGTCTTACAGAGCGTCGTGAGCCTGTGTCTCTTCCTGCCTCGCCTATTTGCGTTGTTCGCACTGGTCGTCGTGTTCCTTGTCCGCGTCCTCCTCGTGTCCCCGACATGCACCATATGACACTTCGTCCTTCCTCTGTTCCACAGCGTATCCCCCTGCCGTCTCCTCATGCGTCCTCTCTTGCTGACGGTCCGGACCCTGAGTCTGACTTAGTTCGTGCTGCAAGTCCTACTGTCATATGTCTTCTAGCCACTGTTGTCACTAACCCTTCGTTTGAGTCTGCTGCTGCGTCTGCCCTAGTTTCTGAGCTTGTTGACTTTGCTGCCGCCTGTCGTCTCGACTACGCCGCCATTCTTGTCGCTGAGTCTGAGTCTGACTGTCCTCCGTCCGTCGGGGGTGAATGTGCTCTTGGCACGGACGTCCTTGAGGACAGGCTGGAGGACTTTGAGTGTTTTTCAGCTGCTGTACCTCATCTCGTGTCCATGCTGATTGCACCTGGAAAGACCCAGATGCACCAGACATCTCGACCCCGCGCTCTTACGCAGAGGCGATTACGGGTCCCTACTCCTCTCAGTGGAAGACAACCATGGACGCAGAGATGGCATCCTGGAAGTCCACAGGCACTTACGTCGACGCAGTTCCCCCTCCTTGGGCGCACATAGTCGATGGCATGTGGATTTTCAGGGTGAAGTGGCCGTCGGGTTCTCCGCCTGCCTTCAAGGCTCATTACGTTGCTCGAGGCTTAAGTCAGCGACAGGGAGTTGACTTCTTCCATACCTTCTCCCCTACCCCGAAGATGACTACTCTTTGGGTACTGCTGCACGTCGCCACTCAGCGTGACTACGAGCTTCACTCTCTTGACTTCAACACATCTTTCTTACGGGGCAGCCTGCACGAGGAGATCTGGCTGCGCCGCCCATCTGGCTTCACTGGGTCGTTTCCTGCAGGTACCCAGTGGAGCCTCCGGCAGCCAGTCTACGGTCTCCGCCAGGCGCCTCGCGAGTGGCACGACACACTGAGGATGACGCTTGCGGCTCTTGGGTTTGCTCCTTCTACAGCAGACCCGTCGCTGTTTCTACGCACCGACACTTCGCTGCCGCCGTTCTACGTCCTTGTGTACGTCGACGACTTGGTCTTTGCCACTGCTGACACTGAGGCCCTAATGAAGTCGGAGCTGCAGAAGAGACACACCTGCACTGACCTGGGTGAGCTGCGCAACTATCTTGGCTTGCAGATCACCCGGGACAGAGCACAGCGCACCATCACCCTGACTCGGTCACACATGGTGCACCAGGTCCTTCAGCGCTTCGACTTCCGGTACTCCTTGCCACAGTCCACTCCTCTGCCTACCGGTCACTCGCTCTCAACTCCACCTTCGGACGAGTCCGTAGAGCCGAGTGGCCCGTATCCAGAGCTTGTGGGCTGCCTCATGTACCTGATGACCTGCACTCGACCTGACCTTGCCTACCCTCTTAGCATCCTGGCACGCTACGTTGCGCCCAGGGGACACCGACCAGAGCACTAGGAGGCCGCTAAGAGGGTGTTGCGCTACTTGTGCAGTACGTCAGGCATGGGGCGCGTGCTTGGAGGACGGGGTCTAGTTGTCCTCACTAGACACGCAGACGCTTCTTGGGATGACGACTTGGCTACGCAGCGGTCGTCACATGGTTACACTTTCAGCCTTGGCTCCGGCTCTGTTTCTTGGCAGTCTACCCGCTCGTCTTCTGTTCTCAGTTCCAGTTGTGAGGCTGAGATCTATGCCGGGGCCATGGCTGCACAGGAGTAACGCTGGCTCACCTACCTGCTGACCGACTTGGGAGAAAGCGGCCTCGTTCTTCTCCAGTTTTGTACATAGACAACAAGGCCATGATTGCCTTGTGTCAGGAGCACAGACTGGAGCACAGAACGAAGCACATCGCTCTGCGTTACTTCCTTGCTCGAGAGTTGCAGCAGCGTGGTCAGCTTCGTCTTGCTTGCGTGGCCTCTAGGGCCAACACTGCTAATATATTCACCAAGGAACTTCACTCTGGTGATCATCAGCGTTTCTGTACTGTTTTAGGCCTTGTGCCTACTCTGTCTCACTTGCTTACTGCGTGACCTTGCTTGTACTGTGATCCATATGTCAGAATGTTTTAG